TGTGGCATGTGGGCTGTGTTTTCCATCCATTGACAAGCCCCGCAGTGTAGTCCGTCCGTTGGCCAAAAGCTTGCCTCAATATTCATTCATTCACCCACCCACTCAATCGATCCACGGCCTGCTGACTCGTAGTATTTGTGGCATAATTTATGCCAAATGTTTGACCAATTGATACAATTTGTAAATGATCCAAGAAAAAAAAAAAAGAAAGAAACCCCCCGCTCTGTAGAGGTTTTCCCCCTCCTGTTTATTGGGGCATTTCCGGTGCAATTAAAGGCCGGTTCGGCCTTCGGCCTCGTCAAACGTTGTGTTAATTGTCCGCACACGTTGTCCCCACCCTTGCCTCATGACTCATGCACGTGGGCATACACCCATTACAAAGGAGAAGCACACGGCGGCACGTGACCTATGAACTCTAAAGCAGAGCGAGTGGGCAGACAGGCAACGAGAGACAACGATGGTAATGGATGGGATGGTCTTTTGATCACTTGTTGCTTGGCATAGGCACAACTATTTGAATCTCTCTCTCTCTCTCTCTGCTTTAATCACTCTCTTAATTATGCTCTTAATCTTCCACTAATCCACTGATACTTTTATGACTGAATTCTTCTATGCATTCTTCAAAGATCTCTCGTAAAAGTGGGACACTCTTTAGAGTCCTGCTTTCACCTGCTTTGAGCACATTGTTTTCTCCATTATAACTTAAACGATGTCTAAAGAGATTGCTCTAGTAATTACATACATACTTGAGTGATTTGTTAACACAAATCGTTAAATTCCAACAGCAATAAGCTACCAACTATGGGTGCTTAAGCTCTCCCATCCATCGCATAAATCTCCTGAAGCAGCTCCTCTTCAACTGGAGAGCCACCACCATTCGGGACAGAGACAGACATTATCATGATCGTGTGTCTGTCTGTTTAATGATCTATCTACCCCAGCCACCCCCTCACCCGAGTTAATGTAACTCAATTTTCAACGAATTTTCATTGCATTTTCCTTGGAATTGAGTGCCAATTGAAATCTAATGAGTCGTTGAATGCACTGCACCGCCGATTCCCTTGTGATCTTCATCTTTGGCTTGTTAAAATGATTTCATCTAACGATTCAAATGATTGTTGTTGCCTCACTCTCTGCAGTTGGATTTCTGTTTAATTTTTTCTTTTTATGACACCTGCATGATTTTCACATGATTTTTCCACCCGCTCTTGCTGCTCGTTGCTGCAGCAGCTTCTCTTAGAGAAGATCTCTCTCTGGCTCTGTGTCTCTGTGTCTCTGTCTCTTTCCCTCCATCTCTGGTTGCAATTATTTTGCGGCTTGTTACAGGTTTTCTTCGATATATGTATCTCTCTCTTCTCTTCTATATATACAAATTTGGAGTCGTGGGAATTGTTTCTGTGTTTTCACAGCGTGGGAAATTTTTTTCGTTTGGCTTTGGGCCTCGGATACGGGACGGAACGGGACGATCTGCCTGCCAAACGGTAAATCAGGTTTTTCCTTTTTCCCCCAAAACCGACGAAAATTTGCCTTCTGCCTTCGTGCCACTGTTGCGCCTCTCTGGTTGCACTACCCAACCGATGCGATCGGTGGGCCTTCGGTCTTTTGGTCTTCTTTGGCAGCCCGGCAAAAGCTTGAACTTTTCTCATCTGAACGATTGCCGATTGGTCGTTTTTGGGGCTTAAATTATGCTGCAAATTTGTGTGTGGAGATCTACATTAAAGGTAGAGATCATCAGAAGCTGAGGTAGATCGTCACAGAAGAAAGGGAAGACCTTTAGAAGAGGGAGATCATTAGAAGGGTCGATTAATGAAGACTTTAGCGGTTAGGCCTTAGAATTCTTGCTCTTAATTCTTCTGCCAACAAAGATCAATCCACGATCAAATTAGTTTCATATAATCACGAGGAAAAGCCTCATTTATTTAGAGGAAAAGCAACCCTCATGCATTGTGAGGAGGATCATTAAAGCCTAGAGACAATTCCAACGCAACTTCTGTTAATTAATTGGGACTTGTAGAGGAGAGAGATGTAGGAATGGTAATGGTAATGGTAATGGTGATGGGGTTGGGGTGAGGGTTGCGGGGTTGCGGGGTTTGGCATCCAATGGCTAATTGAAAGTATCGACGCGTCGTAAAACCGTTGTGTGTGGATTGTAAATTCAGGGGAAAAACAAGGAAAAACAGAGACGCCGTCTTTCATTCATGGCATAGCTTCTGTGTATGTTTGTTTGTAAGATTCCATTGACTGGACAAACTGTCTGTCTGTCTGCCTGCCAGTCGTGTGTCTGTGTCTGTGTCTGGGCCATGGGGGCTACCGGCAGCAAAAAGTAGGCGTCGCCACATCCTGCAATAACAGAGCAGCAGCCGCTAATAGCTCCAATACACGTCTGCACCATGGAATATACGTGATTTCCTACTTCCTGAAATGTCGCGTCGCCGTTCCGTCGGTCAATTCATAAATATTGATGGGGCATTCGAATCGGTTGCACATTCTATCAAAGAAAACAGAGGAAGAGACTCCAGTTTTTGAGAGCAACTCTCGCGCTTCTACTACTCCCTGAAGAGTGGACACTTCTCCGTATCTCTCATTCTTCCTCGCCTCCTCCTGGAGTGTAGGAGATTCTAGTTCTATCGATATCTTTCTCTGAAGAGGGGGCTCTCTCCTTCCATCGATCTCTCCTGCTCCCCTTTTCCCTCTCTTCTCTCTCAACCGGAAGTACAGAGAACCTTAGAGATTGCTGCTGCTCCCTTTCCACTTTCTGTGTGATTTTTGTGATTTCCTTCTTCTGCCGAGGGTGAGGGTGAGGGAGACAGAGACTTCCTGTTTCTTCCTGTGCGGAAGTGAAGAAGCACTTAAACGCTGCCAAGCCAAGAAGGTTCCTCCACGAAACGGGGATTTCTCTGTACAGATTTCTGCTGCTGCTGCTGCTGTTGCAAGTCATTGCTCCTGGGTCGCCTGCAGCAGGATTTTTTTTTTTGGGACTCGGGGATTAAATTTCAACCCTCAAGCGAGCGAGAGCGGGAGAATCTTCTGCATTCGATGTATCTGTGTATCTGCGTATCTTGGTATCTGTAGTTGGTTTCATTTTTGATGAAATTTGAACAGCTGCAGTGTCTGTGGAGAGCAACCCCTAGAGCAGCGATCGAAACGAAGGGAAAAAGCAACCAACCCTCCACTCGGCTGGGCTGGACAAAAAGGGAACACTCTGTGGAACGAATACACTCGTCCCGGCTCGAGGGTAGTTTTACCTGTTTCCCCCGATGTACAGCTGCTTCTGACCTTAGCCCCCCCGCCTCCTACTTCTTCGTGTGGCAGCTGCCACATGCCGCCGCTTAAAGCAAACACATTGATCCTCGCTCTGGATCTCCTGCTGCTGCCACGCGCCGCATATCAACATTCAACATGGTAATCATCTTCATCTTTCATGCCTCTCGTCTGCGTCTGCGTCTTCGTCTCCATCTGCCTCCTTTTGTTGCACGTCCGTCCGTCCCATGCTGTTGTGCAGGTCCTTCGTCTTTTTATTTTCTCTTAATTTGTACCTTTATTTTTTGCTGTGTGTGTCTGTGTTTGTTTTTTTTTTTCTCTGTGCAACTGTTGGCGGCATGCCACGCAGTCGCTTTCGTCTGATGTCTGTTGGAAAAACCTGTCCTCTGTCCCTCTGTTTTTTTTTCGTAATTATTTATATTGCCATATGGATTGGTTATAGCTTCCCCCCCAAGCACTTCTCTGCTTGAAGTCTGTGGATTGCTTATAGATCCTTCTGCAAGTGTTTTGCATCCTTCAGAAGTCTTCGTCGTCTGCTGCTGCTGCTGCTGGTAATTGTTGTCGCCAGCAGCTGGTGCAAGGTTGCAAGGTGCTGCTGTGTGTCTTTTCATTAATTAATGCCAATTGCTTTAGGATCAGAATTAAGAAATTGTTGTGCTGTTTTTACGACTAATTTGTAAGGATTCCCTGGGTCTAGAGGTTGTCGTTGCAAAGGTTTCTTAACTGATAGAAATCCTTGAATTCTTTGATATATTTAAGGAGAGTTTAAGCTTCAAATTCAGCTGTGGAAGCAGTGTAAATTATTGCATTTTATCCCCAAATTTCTTTAGCTATAATTCTTAATTCCTTTTCCCGTTTTGAAAGCATTTCCGTACAGTCATTGCCTAGAATTTCGAAAGAACAATATTTTCCTATGCCCGAAAACACACACTCTGCCACATTTCACACTTTTGGAAGTCAGTTTTCCAAGAACTACTTTTGAAAATCCAATAACCATGACCTATGAATGTTTAATCCATCTGTCTATGTGGAAGTCTCTTTTCGAAATACCAGCACATCCGCCTGTTCTCTTTTAAGATTTCTACACCCCTACGAATCGCAGAGAGATCATTTACCCCAACAAAATGGGGATCAATAATTTTCATCGAAGTCACGTGCCATATCCGTAAATGAAAAGCAACTAAATTCAAGGGATACCAGAGGCTAGGCTTCCAGGGGTTTATTGACTTCTGAAAGAGTGATTCAGACCGTGTTCCAGGCTGCTGTGTAATACGATATCTAGCACATGGTTTGTGCAGCTATCTGTGGCATCTTATGCTTATGCTTATGAGCTCTACCTGCAGCACGAAGGAGGCATGTGAAAAACTCTATGGCGAAGAACATTGGCGTAATCCAATACGGGCGACACGACATGACTCTTCTCTCACACAAAAGAGATACAGAAAATGTAGCTGAGGGATAAATGGGAAGAAGAATGGGTAGAAGATGTAACCAATGGATAAATGCAACTGTCGAATATGTATCTAAGGGATAAACACAACTAAGGGATGCATCTGAGGGATAAAATAAGAGAAAAGGGAAGTCTATTTCACCCATTGATACGATAAAGAGGGACTTGCAAGTTTTAACAGATCAAATCCAGGATGAGTGAAGAGAAGAGAAGCGAAACATAGAATCATAAATTTTCCCCCTTAAACGTTTTCTAACTCTAAAATTTTCTTTTTATTATTTTCTAACAGTTCGCCGTTCGCCCTCCTCATGCCCTGGACCCAACAACCTGCCGCCCCTGCAGTTCCACAGCGTGCATGGCGATAATATCAGGATCTCACGCGATGGTACACTCGCACGTCGCTACGAGAGCTTCTGTCGGGCCATCACCTTCTCCGCGCGCCCCGTGCGCATCAACGAGCGGATCTGCGTGAAGTTTGCGGAGATTTCGAACAACTGGAATGGGGGCATACGCTTCGGCTTCACCAGCAACGATCCTGTGTCGCTGGAGGGCACACTGCCCAAGTACGCCTGTCCCGATCTGACGAACCGTCCCGGCTTCTGGGCCAAGGCACTGCACGAGCAGTACTGCGAGAAGGATAATATCCTGTACTATTATGTGAACAATGCGGGGGATGTGATCTACGGCATAAATAATGAGGAGAAGGGCGTGATCCTGTCGGGCATCGATACGCGAAGTCTGCTGTGGACTGTGATTGATATCTATGGCAATTGCACGGGAATTGAATTCCTGGACTCGAGGATCTACATGTACCAGCAGCAGCAGCAGCACCAGCAGATAACCCAGTCCCTGCCCCTGCAACCGGTGATGCAGCAGCAGCAGCAGCAGCAGGTGGCACAAATGCAGCAGCAACAGCAACAACAGATGCCACAACAATCCGCCCTGAATCCGCATCATCCGCATCAGCAATCGCGTCGTTCGCTGCCCGGCAATGGCGGCGTGATCGAACACGATCTGGAGAGGCATGTGATGCCATCGTTGCAGTCATTGCATTTGACAGGAAATGTCACAAGCAGTGTGGAGCAGGCGGCCATCGCCCATGATCTGGCGAATGGTCTGCCACCGCTACGATACAATGCCAATGGACGGCTCATACCGGTGCCCTTTCACATCACCAAGGGCAGGAATGTGCGCCTCTCCCATGACCGTTTCATTGCCTCCCGCACAGAGTCGGACTTCTGTCAGGGATATGTGTTTACGGCCCGCCCCATACGCATTGGGGAGAAGCTGATTGTGCAGGTCCTCAAAACCGAGCAGATGTATGTGGGTGCCCTGGCGCTGGGTCTTACGTCGTGCAATCCCGCCATCCTGCAACCAAATGATCTGCCAAACGATTCCGATTTCCTGCTAGATCGTCCCGAGTATTGGGTGGTCTCCAAGGATATAGCGGCAGCCCCACAGCGCGGCGATGAGATCGCCTTCTTTGTGGCCCCCAACGGGGAGGTGTCGATCAGCAAGAACAATGGCCCAGCCGTTGTGGTGATGCATGTGGATCAATCCCTGCAGCTTTGGGCATTCCTCGATGTCTATGGCTCGACGCAATCGCTGAGGATGTTCCGCCAGCAGTTGCCGAATATGGTGGCATATCCCTCACAGCCGCAGGTGAATGCCAGCGCCTGCAGCACCTCCACCGCTTCTACCTCTCGAATGCTGAACATGACAGAGTCCATGAGCAGCTTGAATGCGGGACAGCTGCTGGGCGCTGCCACCAAGATGCTGCAGCATAACTCCCAGTTGAGTGTGGCCCAGAGCACCAGCACGCTGGCCTCCAACGCTGGAGGGGCAGCGAATGGCAATCGTATGATCAGCATGCCCTCCAACGGTGATATCCTGCAGATCCAACCGAATGGCGGTGGCACTGTGCTGGTCGTTAACCTGCCACCAGCCAGCAGTTCCCATGATTTGAATGGCCAGCAGATGAGTGCAAGGCCAACGACAACGACGGTGACATCCAGTGGAATATTGGCAGGAGCCTGCAGCAGTGGCACACTCATTAGCACAGCCAGCAGTCAATATATTGAGGTGAGTCCAAACCAGAGAGCGAGATATCATTCAGCAGTATACTAAAGTTCAATTTCTTTCGTTTATTTCCGTGTAGCCCGTTGCTAATAGCACAAATAATGCTGCCAACAAATGGAAGGATAGCCTGAGCGATCAGCATAGCACGGACTCGAGTGCCGAGTGCACTATTTGCTATGAGAATCCCATTGATTCGGTGCTCTATATGTGCGGACACATGTGCATGTGCTACGACTGTGCCATCGAGCAGTGGCGCGGCGTGGGCGGTGGCCAGTGTCCGCTCTGTCGAGCAGTGATACGGGATGTCATCAGGACCTATACGACGTAGGAGCCGCCACTAAAGGATTCAGCGTTGGAGCAAGGAAGCGGGAAGCGTTTCAGTTTCCTAAACAAAGAAAGAAAACTTTTAAACTCGCAATCAAATCTACAAACAAAACAAAAATTACTATAAAAACTACACACAAAGATTGTTGCATTTCGTACGAAAAAGAGCGCAAAAAGAGAGCAATTATTTAAAGGAAAGAAAAGCAGCGGAAGAGAGAAAGCAATTATATAAGGTGTAATAGGAGCGAATAGGAGGAGAGCACAGTATGGAATGGATTGCAAGACTCTAGTATTAACAAATAATTAATATTTTTGCAGAAACTAAAGATTACAGAAAGAACTAACTAAAGAGAGAGATTATCTTTGCGCAAGAGGAATGAATGTCTGTCTGCATGCTTCTTATATGCTTATTATATATATATAATTTTTTTGTGATTTTATGAGTATAAGAGTGCGCCCCAAGAGAATATTATTGTATTGTTCAATCGAGATTTTTACGTTTATTTCAATTTTTTGTAAACTCCCCAGAGAATCGCAGGACGTATTTTGAGCGATATACTTATACATTATATGATATATTTATGCGTGTTGTATACCACATATAAAAACCAAAGTATTGTATGGATGGATTGTTGTACGAGATTGTACGAGATGTTGATATTGATCAGAACCGATCCGTTTTTGTATTAAATTTTATATTGTATTGTGCAAAAAAAAATTGAAGGGCAAAAGTTGTTGCAAATTTACCTAGTTTTTCTTTATATGAAATTTTCTATTAAAAAAAAAAACAAAATTATATTTTTCCAATCATTTTGGTGCTAAAAAATGTTTTGAATTTGCGAAAAAAAAATTATGAAAATTGTTAAAGGATTTTGAATGAAAAGTTATGTTTAAGCTTGCAGCAACTACAGCAACAGGATGGAAATTATAGGAATTAAAACCAATGACTACTTTCAGGACAAAAGGAAACGGATAAAAATCTATAAATAATATATTCTGCCAGCACAAAAAGGATTGATTGATCAGAGAAAAAATACTTACATATATGCACGAAAACCAAAATAACAGAAAGCAAGATGCGTGTTAAATCTAGTTTATAGTTTAGGCTTTAAGTCAGATTTTAAGTTAATTTCTAGTCAACGAATTATGCTGAAGTTTAATCTAAAAAAACAAAAAGAAATGGGACTTCAACCAAACTACAAACAAACAAAAAAAGACATGAAAACTATGAAGGAAAACCGTATATTGAGCACACACACGCTAAGCAATTTTAATGGAAATGCCGCATTTTAATGAATTAACATTTAAGTAGTGCACATATTTTAATGACAAAATGATTATATATATTTTAAATGAACAAAAGACTTGTATGTTGTAGTTGTACAGCAGCAGCTTGAAAGGAAATATGTATTGAACACTGGATGCCCATCTAAAAGAACAGAATCATGCAGTTAGAGAATTGCCAATAATTAATTAAAAATACCAAGCAGCAACACACAGAGCAGAACAAACTTTACCTAAGATTGTATTAAAGTAAACGATCATCTAAGAAGCAAAAGAAACAAAGAAAACAATGGAATGGGAAATGAAGCGCAAGCTTACTATTTTTGTTATAAGTATGGATTGGCTTGGATATGGCGAGAGGGATACGATACAATGGAGACATTTGTTATTGCCACTATTTATAATTAATTTTTAATTTTTTTAATGAATACACTAGTTCGTACTATTACGGATACAAATGCCTAGTTATGAGTAAACATTTAAATGTATTTATGAAATTATATTTGATATATGTAAGACAACGCAATGCTGTAATACCATTAAATACTGACAACAATATCAGAAAGCTATGCTGGTTTTAATTGTGGGCGGAAAATGGGTGGGAAATTAATGGACATTCAAGCTGAAGGCGTTACTAATTATTCATTAGCAAACAAGAAGATATAGCAGCCACACGCGCAATGTTCTTAGCACTCTTAAAGTTCAGACTTCAAAGCAAAATTTTGAGTTAAATGATTTAAAATAATACATTTTAAATAAAAAACGATCATTTCGATGTTACCATCGTCAAATGTTACCGTGTAGTTAACATGTAAAATCCCTATTCAGTGGTATTTCTTGCTGACCTTTGTTTAAACCATCTTTTATCAACAAAATTCCATTAAAAAGAGTACTTCAAATAAACCAATCTGAAGGAAAATCGTTTACTTTATCAGATAAAATTAAATGTTCCGTGCGGAGGATCCTAGCTGGCTAGCAATCATAAACCGAATATCAAAATCGAGGTATATGATTTCCGATCATGGACAAAAAATACCCACTACCCCAGTGGGTATTTAAATATATAATTTTGGTATATTTCTAAGAGTTTACTGGTATTTTGGATTGGTAAGGTCACACTGACACGCAGTAAACAGAGATTTTATCGTGTAGAAAAAAACTTGATTTAAACGCTGAAAACGCGCATAAAACAATTGAATAAAGGTGCTTAAATGTGTTTAAAATTACCCCGCTTATATTTAATGTGAGTTGAGCCATGAACAATGGATGGAAAAGTGCTTTCCCGTGCATTTTGCTATAAACACATACACACAACGTAGACAAAATACTAACCCCACCCCCGCCATTTGGCTCTACCAACCATTTTCCAGAGCATAAGCGACCCAAATACAATTAAAGTAGAAGCAGCAGTAAAAGAAGCGGCGAGCGCGCAGAAGAAACGTTTGCCTAATTACGTATTCCAATCATGGACGAGGCGAACATACAGGACAAGGAGCGCTTCGCCAGTCGCGAGAACCACTGCGAGATCGAGAGACGGAGACGCAATAAAATGACGGCCTACATAACAGAGCTCTCGGACATGGTGCCCACATGCAGTGCCCTGGCCAGGAAACCCGACAAATTGACCATACTCCGCATGGCCGTGGCGCACATGAAGGCCCTGCGGGGCACTGGCAACACCAGCAGCGATGGCACATACAAACCGTCCTTTCTCACCGACCAGGAACTGAAGCATCTGATCCTGGAGGCGGCCGACGGGTTCCTCTTTGTGGTATCCTGTGATTCGGGTCGCGTTATCTACGTTTCCGACTCGGTGACGCCCGTGCTGAACTACACACAGAGCGACTGGTACGGCACCAGTCTGTACGAGCACATACATCCCGATGACCGTGAGAAGATACGCGAGCAGTTGTCCACCCAGGAATCGCAGAATGCAGGACGCATCTTGGATCTCAAATCGGGCACGGTCAAAAAGGAGGGACATCAGTCTTCGATGAGGTTGAGCATGGGCGCCCGTCGCGGTTTCATTTGCCGCATGCGCGTGGGTAATGTCAACTCGGACTCCATGGTCTCGGGACATCTCAATCGATTGAAGCAGCGCAACTCGCTGGGACCCTCGCGCGATGGCACCAACTTTGCGGTGGTCCATTGCACGGGCTATATCAAGAATTGGCCGCCCACGGATATGTTCCCCAATATGCATATGGAGCGGGATGTAGACGACATGACGTCCCACTGCTGCCTGGTGGCCATCGGTAGGCTGCAGGTCACCTCCACGGCAGCTAATGACATGAGCGGCGCGAACAATCAGAGTGAATTCATTACACGCCATGCCATGGACGGGAAATTCACGTTTGTCGATCAACGCGTGCTCAACATTTTGGGCTACACCCCGACGGAGCTGCTCGGAAAGATTTGCTACGACTTCTTTCATCCCGAAGATCAGAGCCACATGAAGGAGAGCTTCGATCAGGTGCTCAAGCAGAAGGGACAGATGTTCTCGCTGCTCTACAGGGCACGGGCCAAGAATTCCGAATACGTTTGGCTGCGCACCCAGGCGTATGCCTTCCTCAATCCCTACACCGATGAAGTGGAGTACATTGTGTGCACGAATAGCTCCGGGAAGACCATGCACGGTGCACCCATTGACGCCGCTGCGGCCCACACACCTGAACAGCAGCAACAACAACAGCAGCAGCAGGAGCATGTCTATGTGCAGGCACCTGGCGTGGATTACACACGCAGGGAGCTCACTCCCGCGGGCAGTGCCACCAATGATGGCATGTACCAGACCCACATGCTCACCATGCAGGCGCCAACGCCACAGCAGCAGCAACAGCAGCGTCCGGGATCGGCTCAAAACACACCAGTGGGATATGCCTACGACACAACACATTCGCCGTATAGCGCAGCGGGCGGTGGACCCTCGCCACTGGCCAAGATCCCCAAGTCGGGCACATCCCCTACGCCCGTGGCGCCCAATGCGTGGGGCGCACTGCGTCCGCAACAACAGCAGCAGCAGCAACAACAGCCCGTCACCGAAGGCTATGCTTATCAGCAGACCAGTCCGGCACGGTCACCGAGTGGGCCCACCTACACGCAGCTAAGCGCTGGCAATGGCAATCGGCAGCAGCAACCGCAGCCGCAGGGACCATATCAGCCAGCACCGCCGCCTCCGCCACCGAATGCGCCGGGCATGTGGGACTGGCAGAATGCAGGAGGTCATCCACATCCTCCCCATCCGACGGCACATCCGCATCACCCGCATGCACATCCCGGTGGACCAGCAGGTGCCGGACAGCCCCAAGGTCAGGAGTTCTCCGATATGCTACAAATGCTCGATCACAGTGCACCCACAACATTCGAGGATTTGAACATCAATATGTTTAGTACACCATTTGAGTAATCCCTACAGTCCAATCCAAAACCACTCTATCTGCAGCGTCTCTCTCTCTCTGTCTCGTCTCTCTTGACCATTTCTCAAGTGCAATCTATCGGAAAATTGTTGAAATAATTCAGCCAAAACGCAGACGCATGGTAATCTCGTAAATAGCAATTTAAGTACATAACGATGTGGCACGTACGCAACAATTCCGATATTCGTATCTTTCTTTTTTGTCGGTCCCCTTCCTTCTCCACCCGCTTATTCGCAAAAGCTAAAGGTATTTATGTACAATTAAAGTATATACACAAGAGCGATAATATGTATTCAGAGCCTATGAATTCTAAGCGATTTCTGTAACAAATGGAATTGTTTTACGAGCTTCGGCCTGGGAGTAGAATTCTCTCGTATCTTCTTTTCTCATTAAGTGCTCCAAACATTAAGCAAATTTTCAAGTTCATATGCAACTTATACATTTATAAATACATATACAAATCGTAGTTTAATATACGCAAATTGTTAATTTTAAGCTAAAACAAAAAAAATAGCCTCCCGCCTGAAATGTATTGGCTCCTCCTTCTCCATGCCCTCCATCACTAACATTGACCCCAATTCAAATTCTCCCATTAATTTCGCTCGCTTTCTGCGAATGCAAAAAAAAGTATATCACTCACACACACACACACATGTGCATAGATTCACTTATAAACAAATTCGCTTAATGTGCAGATTTTATTGCAGCGACAACAAAAACGTCAGAACTTTCAAGCTCAATACAGTGGCGCTCAAAATTGAATTGCACCTCCTATATACAGTGGCGGCATAAACTACATTGCCAGCTACAAGACGAATACACATACACCCCCATTTAATTATGACAAGCTAGTTAATTAAGCGAAAACAATTCAAGAAACAAATTTTAAACAAATCTGTTAGTCGCTAAGTTATCCCCCTTTTTGTAATTAAGCCACAAAATCAACGATTATGCTTAGAGTTTTTTGGTATTGAGAACAAATATTTCGGTTTTTAATGAGAAATAAACTTAATGTACTACTAAAAAAAAAAAAATCTGAAGGAATACGAGTTTATCGCTCAGCGGACTTAACTTCGCCTTCGCAGCTGCCACAGCTACGTTTCTGGGCTGCCTTTTTGAAATCCTTAAAACGCGGACGCTTGGCAGGACTGTCATCAGGCGCTGCATCTGGGGATGATTTGCGCTTCATTGCACCATCTTTGTCCTCCTCATCACTGGGGTCGCTCTGCTCAGCCTTGATTTGCTCCTCCCGCTTTTTGCGGACATTTAGCCAGGCCATCATGGTCTTGTTCATGGGTGGCTTGGCGGGCTTTGCGGCCAGCTCGATGGGTTTGTTGCATTCCTCACTCTTGTTGCGCGAGTTGTTCACCAGCTTCGTGACCCGATGCCATTCTAGGGACTTGGCAGGCTGCAAAGTAGCCAAGGCCTGTGAATCGCTCACCCGCTTAAAGTCCAGCCAGTCCTGGTGATACCACAACATTAATTGCATATAAAATAAATTATTTTTGTGACTCACATTCATTTGCTGCTCGGTTTCTAGTATGGCTGGCATTCGGTAATGCATCCAGTCCATGATTTTGCTAGACTGGAAGGTAATAATACTGTAGCTATACATTTTGTCGCCACACTCATCCTCCCACACATCAAAGAGCCCAGCCATGCGCAGGAGCTTCACATTCGATGGTGTCCAAGTGGTCTTGTCGTATATCTTCACATCGCTCTCTTGGGGAACAAAGATCAGGTAGGCTTCCCGCTCAGATGGTTTCTTGGCGGGACCAGCCGTCTGCCATTCGTAGAAACCTTCGCAGAGCACCACACACCGTTGGCCCCGTTTAAAGGGTCCGCGATAGAGTTTTGAGTCCATCAGATGCTCCAGCCGACAGTTGTTGGTGGTGAGGCCGTGCTTGCGGTAGTCGCCCTTGTGCCAGAATGGGATCATACCCCACATCATGGGCATCACAGTGCGAGCACATTTCTGGTCCTCTTGGTCCGAGAAGTGGGCAGCAGAAACAACAACAGGCGTTATGTCCGTGGGGGCTATATTATACGATGCCTCGTAGCGTCGACCCAAGTTGAATTCCGCGCGCCACTCTGGCGTTTCCTTTTTAACGCTGCTGTTTTGATATTTACAGGCACACAGTACCTGATCTGGATCTAGGGTTCTACCGACGATATTAGCAAACTAGCAGAAAAATCATTTAGTTTTGGGAACTTACAAGCAAGTTCGTCCGCACATCTGGATATTGTTGTTATTTATTCGACACCGATAAGTCCAGGGATGAAGTAAAGAAATCGGTTATCTATTGTTTTTTAAATATATTTATTTTTTTATTCGTATTTATCGATCTCGTCAAAGATTTCGGTTATCCATTGTTTTTTAAAGACATTGGCGACACAGGTGTGGTTGGGGAGCCTGGGAACAGCTTCCTGTTTACTTTTTTTTAAACGCTGCCACGGCGCACTTATTTTTATAGCAAACATATATTGTTCCTCGCCGATCAGTCCTGTAATCAGAGTCTTTTTCTACGGGAAATAGGTTCAGCAGCTCACTCTCAAGTGCACGACACTCCTTGAGGGTGAGTTTCTGCTCCCTTAGTAAGAAATGATCGGCGATGGTGTTAATCGCTATCTTCCTCATCTCCGGTGTTAGTGGCTCTGGCTGCCACGCAGCCGTTTTTCCCACTGTGTCACTGTTTGCCGCGTAACGGGATTTGAACACATGCAACACTCTGCGAGTGGATTCTGAGATTTGCGAAATTCTGTGCAAAACGCTGTGTGTTTACTCGTGATTTATATTTTGTGGTGCAAATTTAAAATGAATCTGGAAGAAGTATTTACATGCCACCCACTATTGGCTGGAAGGAATACGTGGAGCGGGAGTCCCACATAATGGAATGGGACTGCGGGATCATCAATATGGTGTCCACTTGCTCTCTTTGTTGCATTTCAGGGTAATCGATTGAAATAATTTGCATGGTAGAGAGGAAGGTTTCCAGACAGGGTGGCAAGGCCGAGGTTGAAGGGATAGTGGTGAGCGGATGGTGGCGCCCCCTAGTCGGGCGATCTTAAAACTATGAGATCCGCGCGCTCTTGAATTCCCTTGTGGAGAGAGGAGAGCCGGTGTCCCGGAGCCAATTCACCCACACACGCTTAAGGGGAGAGAGAGCGGTTACAGGAAGAGTAGGCCATGCCCTTGAACCTGGTTCAAGGGCAATAGAAGAGATCGATGGGGCTTGGCGACCAACGATATAAAGCTTAGGCTTAGGCTTAGGACAGATCAAAAAAATCGTTGGCGGAAGACGGTACAAAAAAAAATCGGTTACGGATCGGGTCTCAGAGAAATAAAAATAAAAAGAATTAGAAAGTGAGTGAAATGAGGATGGGTAGTGGTCATCACTCAAAGTGAATTTTTTTTGTTTTACGTTTCCTCGAATAGCAAGGAGGAAGTAGAGCTGCCTAGCGGGACCGATGCGGATATATTAGAAAAGCTGGAAAAAAAAAGGAACAAAAACTGTGCCCAGTTCCGCCGTCCTGTCCACAGCGGCATGGTCCTTCGCCCGGCCTAGAAGTGGACCCCGGAATATCGTCCCCGTCCTCCAGCAAAGATGTTATTAAACCCTATTTAAATACCTACATATAGTTTAGAACCCACTAAGCCGTCGCATATCTGTGTATACACTTATTTATTTATTTACCGTTAATTATATTTATTTATTTGTTCTTATATATGTAATTGTCACTATTTATAATTATTTATTTATTTAATCATAGTTAATTTGATACGCCCATGCCCATAATTTAGGTCACAGAAAGGAAGAGGTTAGGATGGGGATTAGGAGGTCGACCTAAACCAGCTAGGAGTTACAGAATACAAAAAGAATGTGTGAAAAATGTTATTTAAAGTGAAATTATAACGTTTAATATGAATTGCTAGTGTGTTTAGTATGGGGGGAAAGGGGACCACAGCGGCGAAATGGAGATCGGCCGCTACACTTGAGGAAAAGAGGAGATTTGTAGTTGTTCCGCGTCGGAGAGATGATTGTCCGTGAGGTTTAGTGTAAAGTCCGTTGGTTTGTTTTGAATCGTCGTTTTGTTGTCATATTTGTTCGAGATGCCCGAACAGCTGGTTTGTTGTGCGACCTGGGGGCCTGGGAAAAACCTATTCCTGAGATGACTGGCTAGCCGGCCTTGCCCCACCACTAAAACAGGTTCGTAACATCTTTTAAGGATCAGCCATTTCTCCTGATTTTCGACGAATACAATTTTACCCACATTCCCAACGTAAGCTTTATTATATTATCTTCTTAATTAGTATCAATAGCCGAGTCGATATAGCCATACCCGTCTGCCCGTCTGTCTGTCTGTCCGTCTTGTTGAGCGCCTAGATCTCAGAGACTATAAGAGCTAGGGCAACCAAATTTGGTTTCCAGACTCATGTGATATCACACTGCTACAAGTGTATTTCAAAATTTCGCCCCGCCCCCTTCCGCCTCCACAAAGGACGGCACAATTTTAAAGATACGATAAAACTAAAACGCAGTTTCGTAGAGAATGTAGAGAAGATATGGATCTACCAGATTGCCGAATCTGAATCAGATCGGATCATAATTATAGCCAGAATGAAGAAATAAATTTTCAGTTGCTTCCCCCGCCCCCTCCTGCAAAAGAAACACTACTCATTCTCTTTCTCGCTCGCACACTCTGCCGCGTTCAGTGCGCGAGCAACCCCTAGCGGAGGAGATGTAGAATATAAATGGTACATCTATAATCTACATGTTAGATGTAAAATATACATTGTAGATGTAGATGTAGATAGCAGATGTAGCAAAAAAAAGTAAAATGTAAAATTTTTGTAACTTAGTTAGTTTTCGCTTACTATGTCATCGATTATGTTCCTAGGACATCCCTGTGTTAAAGTAAACAGCCCATCGTATGGCAGGTCATCGCTGAAACATCGCTGACTCGTACTGCAGGGTATTTTGTCGTGCCTGTGTACGCACATGCATTTGCAATTTTGGACTTGCTTTCGCATCTCGTCATGAATCGAACATGTCGAAAAAATGCCGAACGTCTCAGGTCCAACAGCCGAAGACCTGGGGACCTGGGACAGAAAATTCAGCTGCGACACGTTCGGTGTATGACCTGGCACATCTATATTCTATATACTCTATGGTTAGTGCTTAAGCTTTCGGAGCTATCACAGCGAAGCAGAAAATACGTTTTGGGTAAATACCGACGGCGGTATTTTTATTGAAATTTAGTATTTGTGGCCTGAAGCTGTACGGTAGCACTGCGGGTCAGGAAAAGCTTTTCACTCGACAAAAATTTATTTTCATTTCAATTATTAATTTGAGTGCTAGTGCATTAAAGTTACGATAAATTAGACATTACAGCACCATAGCAAAGTATGTTGACGTATCCCCCCACAAGTAATACCAACACTAACAAGCTTGCATGTCAAGAAAACTGTTGACTGCAAACTGCAGCACAGAAGCAGCCACACCAACAACAATAACATCATCATCGACAACTTCTTGTGTATATGGGCTATGAAAAGTTCGCGATGAACAAAAGATTTCAGAGCAATTTGCAATTGCGTAGCATGTGTCATAGCGGTGCAAGTCAATGTATATAAGGAGAAGAATGTGGACAAGAATTGCGCGGTGCCTGTGAATAACGTGCGAAGAACGCAAGAAAAGCATTCGACGCATAAGCTTATAAATAGTGACAAACTACAACAGCACAGCCTACTGTTATTCGCAGCTGCTCAAAGTTCTCATCCAAGGGAGCTTTCTGCGACAAAAAGAAGACAAATATCGCATAAAGCGTTGCCATATATCCGTGAGAAAAAGCGTAATAGCCGTGCTTATGGCATGATTAGGAAAATCTGCAATTTCTGTATAGCTGCAAATGTTTATAAACAATACACCTATTGCCGTGCTTTTATGTGGGTGTGCGGAAATTTTGCGCGATACTACGAACTTGCGCATATCTACAGTTCAGGTTCAGTCAGCAGTGGTGTGGTCACAGGCGGGGGGTGGCGATTGCGAGCGACAGGGGAAAAGCCCACGACATCCACGAATGAGTTGAAAATTTTCGCGAAACCAAAAAGTTAAAAATAAATGTTTACTGTGCTCGTGTTTAACGTTAAAATGGAGGACAAAAGCTGAAAGAGAAAAGGGAAAACTGCAATTGCCCCGTCACCCGAGCCCGTATTCAACAAAGTGTTAAATGTAATTTTTACGAATGGCTCGCGCTCGATTGTATTGAATAATTTCAATGTTCGGTCGGGCCAGCTTGTGGGTGATACGACGGTGGGAGGGTTATACCTTTTTCGAAAGGCACTTCGAAAAGAAAGAACCGTAATCGTGTGGATGAGAAAGCATGGTGCGAAGAAAAGACACATAAAAAAGTGTATGTGTGTGTGTGTGTGTGGAAGTATGGAGAAACACTGAAAAATTAAAAGTGCACAGACCGCGAGAAAACAAGAGATGGCAAAAATGTCTAGGTATCCCGGAATGGGTTGGATGCTATGCCGCTTCTCCTACTCTGAATTTGTTCTTTGTTTTCAGTCTGCGTGTTTTATTTATGGTAATTAAAAACAGCGAAATGCCTCTCTCTTATAGCTCCTCTGCATCCTAAATGTCTACAACATAGCAATCTCAAACGAATCAACCAAAATCCTAAACACACAGCCACTGAACCAGCAGCACAAGTCCAAACAATCATCGGCAAATCATCAAAACGGCGTGAAGAGAACCATAGAACAGATCCACATACCCCATCTTCTTCTGGCACTTGTCAGCGGGAGAGGCTCTGTATCGCGAAGTATAGCCTTGCTGCCGTATAATGAGTCGACATGAAGGTACCACTCCTTACTCCATATTATCCAGATCAAATATCTTACTAAACTGCAATTATCGCCATCCACCCCCCACCATATCCAGGTGTCAGCTGCGATTCATGTCTCAAGAGCAATTTCAATGGACGCCGCTACAAGTGCTTAATCTGCTATGATTACGATCTATGCGCCGATTGCTATGAGGAAGGCGTCACCTCCACTCGCCATCTGGTCGAGCATCCCATGCAGTGCATACTCACCCGTTCCGATATCGAGCTATATTTCGGCGGTGAGATGCTAACATCGGATCAGCCGCAGAGCTTCACGTGTCCCTACTGCAAGAAGATGGGCTTCAGCGATGCCACGCTGCTGGAGCATGTCTCTGCTGAGCATACGGAGACCAGTCTCGAGGTGGTATGTCCGGTCTGTGCCGGCCTACCGGGCGGTGAGCCGAATCTAGTCACAGATGACTTTGCCGGTCATCTAACATTGGAGCATCGGCAGGGACCACGCGAGCTAATATCCTTTTTGATATCCTTTTTTAAACAGTATTCCATTAGATGTATTCGATTAGTTGTAAGCTTTCAGCCCATTGCCATTCTCTTCTGTTGGTTTCACTTAACGTTATAGATAATACGATGAGCCCTCTGCCATTCGTCATGGCGGTGGCGTGCGTCGCATCCCTGGACGCACTCTCGGCGGACCACGAACGCGTCGTTCCAATATGCACTTCAGCTCATCGAGCGGTCTGTCGGCCTTGTCGCCCTCGGGTCGGGAATCGGTTGATCCCATTGCGGAATTGCTCTCTCAGCTATCCGGCGTTAGACGCGGCGGCCCACCTACGTCGCAATTGCAGCAGCTACAGATGCAGATGCAGTTGGACAGGCAGCAGGTGACGGTAAGGGGACGCTCCCATCCTCTAGCTATCTATATTTCTGTGTGTTTTTGTGTGTATAAGGAAATTGCGACTTTTTGTGCTTTTGTTTTGTGCATTATTCTAGGCATCGCGCCAAATCGATCGGCTGCCAAGGCGTGCGCATCCCATAGTCTCAACATCGAATTCGAATGCCGCCATGGCCGAGGTGATCAGCGGCGGCGGCGGTGGGGGAGGCAGTGGCGCAGTTGGTAGTGGCAGCAGCAACAGCGGCAGTGGAGGGCTAAGTGGCAGTGGTGTGACCGCACCGCACAACCTGCGCACCACCGAGTGGCCGGTGACAGCGAGCTTCACAACATCGGCCAGCAATCATCAGCAGACTCAGTCGAGTCTGGCCGCCAATAGCCTCAACGCCAGAGAAGTAGTTCATACCTCTAGCCCATATACCATGAGTGAATTTTCCACTAATCCGCTCTGTCCACTATCATCCTTGCAGGCGGTCGGCGCCACTAGCAGCAGCTCAAACAATGCCCTCGGAATTAGTGTGGGCGTCGGTGGTGCGCCAAATGGTAACGGCGCAAACGGAGCCACTGGCCAGGCGGTTGGTCAGGGCTCGACAGCTGGCGAGGCTTTGTTGTTGGCCCAATTCATGCAGCCCACACTCACAGAGGCTGAGTGGGCGAATGTGGAGTGCAAGCGGGCAGATCGGTGAGTTTTCAGCGACAGTAATACATACTCTAGTTCTGATGCCTTATTGAATCTCTTTTTTTGTTATCCTGCTTTTTAGCTCCATGTTTGTGCAGTCGCTGCTGCTGTCGATGCTCTGCACAGAGTCCCTGGACTTGAATGCTTCCAATGAAAGCATAGATGGCATGGCCAAGAGTGATAATGTAAAAAAGGGGCAACAACAGCAGCAGCAACAGCAACAACAGCAGCAGGAGGAGGAGGACACCCTGCTGAACAACAATGCTGATGTGGAGCAGCAGCAGCAGGCACAGCCAGCGATGGTGCGACAGGTGAATCAAATGCAGCAGACCTCGCCCGAGGATTTTGTTTGCGATGAGTATCGCTATAAAAACAAAAAGGCCAATACAACACAAACAAGTGGCACAGCAGGGGGCGTTGTCGGAGGCGGTGGTGGAGGAGTAGCAGGAGCAAATGCAGCCGCTGTTGGTGCGGTTGGTGGAGCTGGCAGTAAGCCAACAACTGATAGAGGCATCGAAAGACGCGGCCGTCCCCCACCAGTAGAGATGGCAACGGGCTCCCAGCCGCCTCAGCAGCAGCAGCAGTCCACGCCGTCAGCTTCCCAGCAGAAATACAAACAGAATGCAAATGCGGCGTCAAACACAAATCAAATTCCCGACACTAGGTAGTGCCTCTGATGATCGATCACAACAGCAAAGATGCATCAACAACACCACATGTAGCTGCAGCAGCCACAAAACAACAAAACAAATCTATCACCACCACTACCACCACCACCACCACCACCACCAGAATCAGAGGAAGAACCACAGCAACAGCAACAACAACTACAACAAGAAACACAGCCGTATATGTAACAACAACAACCAATCGTAGTAGGGGAGAGGAGAGTATTGCTGCTGCTCCCTGAAGGGAAGGGATCCCAGGAGTTCAAGGAGTTCCCGGGTGTTCCGATTCATCTCTAGCAGCTGCCGCCACAGCAATTTCGTCAAAAGGAAAACTATATTATGTATCGTTTATTAAATATATTAAAATTTATATAATTATAAAAAAAAAACAGGATGGAGAGATGTGCAGCAAGAAAATTATTGTAATCATTGAATTAATAATAATTTAAAGAAACCACAAAAAACGAAAAATAATTGACTTGTGTTCTGGCTTCCTCTCCAGCTAATAGTGGCTAAATTCGTAATCAAATTTGTACAATTTATGTGACTAGTAGTTGGATTATGGCATGGCATTTCTCACACTTCAAATCTTTCCACCTCCACGGGAGGCAAACTTTCGAGATCGTAGGCGTTCTGCACTCCACGCGGTAACAGGCAGAAGAGATGCTCCACCGCCTGTTTGACCTGTTGCTCCGAACAGTACGGATTGGCCATGACAATGTGGTAGGCCATCATCCTGGCTAGTTTCTTGAACAGAAATCGATTGGCAATGAGACGCTCCTGAAGCGCAGCCATCAGATTGCGCACAATCCACGGCCGAATGCGGAGGATGCAGCTGGCCAGCAGTACTTCATCCACCAGATCGATAGAGGGACTGGATATTTGGGCAGAGAACTCATCGTCACTGTCCTCGCCAAAGAGTATGTGAAACTTGTGCCGTAGTTTATCCTCACAGCGCCAGTCGGCCTCTAACAGACGGATCAGACAGGCATTGAGACGACGGCGCTGAGCATAAAGTTCACAGGGCCAGCGGCTGGTGCGTAAATCCGTTTCACTGTGCTCTACAGCTGAGTCCAAGGGCGTGGGCGGATCTTCACTTTCGTCTATGCTGGGCAGCTCCTCCAGGATGTCCGATACCTGAGGCTCGTCTGTGGCAGCGGTGCACTCAATCCCGAAGATTTCATTTAAATCGGTGTTCTCATCGCCAAATAGCAGGGCCAACTCCTTGCCGACTGCATCTTCGTCCTCCATTGGCTGCTGCTGCTGCTCTTCCGGCTGCTCCGGCGGGACAACATGCTTGTTGCGACGAAGCTGACGACAGCGGCGACAAGGAAGCTGCTCATTGTTGGCCTCTGATTTTTCGAGTCGGGCCTGAAACAAATCGATTTTCTGGCGCAGCTCGACGCTGCCATAGTCTTCTTCTCCATGGGAATTACTCTGACTGTGACTTAAACTATCATTGGATGGCTCGTTGCATACGGTTTGCGTTGCCTTATCGACCAAACATTGGACAGAGTTTGCTGGCAGTGTATTTTCCTCGCGCCCCATTAGCTGCATGTTTTTGAATAAAACGTTGGCCAGGCGACACTCCTGCGTATTCCTTCTGACGGTGGCTATCTGCGGGTACCCAAATTGCGTTAGCCTTGCAGCTTGAACAGCTCTTTAGGCACTATCTTACGTACCATCTTGACCATGGCTCGCTGATAGATCTGAGCAGCCATGCAGGCTTTGACAGCCATTTCCTCTAGCTTGCTCAGGCTCTGGGGAATGCAGGCCCACGCAGTGGGCTTGTGGTGATTCCTTGACTTCTTTGCCCAGGCGCAGACATTCTCCTGCAACTGGCGCTCCAGATAATGTACATATTGTTTTCGAACCTTTAAAATTTCGGGGATTAAATGTGTGCAGCCAAAACCTCCCCTAGCATAGGCAATTTTTTCTTATTTACATACCACCTCGGTGAGCACCACAAAATCATTGCAACCTTCAAATGCCATGCTTAACAGCTGCCCAGGTTTGTCCACTCCACGGTTTTAATTGACCTTAATCATTCCTTAAGACGTTTATCACGGGCAAAGTGAGCTTTTTCCACTCTCGTCAGTTCAGTTCAAAATAGTAATTTAAACAATAATCAAGTGTTGCAAACAGCTGATTTTTTTTGCAAACTATCGACTCAAAACGATACTAATCGAATGTTAACTTCCAATTTTATTGTTTTTAATTAAAAATTATCAATTTCTTTGTTTTTTTTATTATTTAAGAATCTTTATGCAATCTCACAGGCAGAAATGTTTGTTTATTAACTAATGACTTGTATATTGTCGGGCTACATAGATTGACTGCTCTATACATGCTCGTAGTAAGGCTCTATATATTATATCGGATAATATATTAGCAAAATTGTTAAACATTAACAAAGTTTCACATACAATTCTTTGTTTCTTGCAGAGCCGCCACTGGAATTTTGTTCCGTGTTGTTTATTACAAATTCGTTATTTTGAATAACAGCAAAAATTAAGCGTGTGAGGGAAAAACTATATTTAATACATGTATGCATTAGTTTAATTTTATTTAAGGGCTACACTTCTTGAGCCAGTGCCAGAGAGATTTGGCCTAATTTTGAATATCAATATACGCATCCTTCCTACCGTTTGCATTTCGTGTTTTTAGCTAGTCCAGAAACATATTGTCGTCATCAAAGGTAAATACATTGTTGCGTGCCGGGGCACGCTCACTGGGCGAGGGACTTTCGGGCGAATCGATAGTGCTGGCTGCGGTTGAGTTGCCAGTGCCTGTTCCAATGGTGGAGCTGCTGGCCCGCGCGCCATTTCGCTGGGCGGGAAATCCGTCGAGCATGACTAGTTGTTCCTCATCGACATCGTGGGCGTCATTCGCCAACGATTTGCGGCAAATGGGGCAAGTACTGTGCAGATTTAGCCACGGCACAATACAATTCTCGTGGTACAGATGCGAGCACGGCAGCTTGCGAACGGTCTCATCCATTTTGAAGTCATCCCAGCATATCGAACATTGCATCTTTTTCTCTACCTCTTCAGAGGTAATCTGCACATTTGGTATTTCATTGATGCGATTGCTCGACAGTGGCGGAGGGCCGGAGGTCTCCATTTGGTTGAGCATCTGGGTGACAATCGTGTCCAATCCCTCGCGTCCCCATGCATAGTCGCCGGGGTTGCCCATGAAAAACATGTGCGAATTGCCGGGCACACCGCCCCCGGGTCCAGTCACAAACTCTGCAGTGGCGCCGGCCAAGGGCAGGCTTTGCAGAAAGTCAAACAGCACGTTGTCCAGGCGATCCAGATTGGCCGGACGCACACGTCCGCCGGCGGTCAGTCCGGCACTGGATGCCGCACTCAGGGGTGTGTATCCTCCCACGTGTAGCACATTAGCCTGTCGACGATTTGGCTCAATGGTGATCTCCAAATTGGGCACATTACGCATGTTCAACAGCGAGACAATATCGTTCCGTAAAGCCTCCACATTCGACTGCGATCCGCTGGACGAGCTGCCGCGACTCAATGTGTCGTTGGAGCCCGAAGAGGCACTACCACTGCTGCCCGCCCGTGCACTGGTTGTGGCGCCGCCTGCTGTTGGGGCCACCAGCTCAGGAGCGTTTGCCGGTAGCTCCTCAACAAAACCATTTGAGCACAGGGGACAGGTGAAGTCCGCGCTTGGAATGTTAATCTCCACATTGCACATGTGGCAAAAGAAACGCTTCGGTTCGACAATGCGATCCGCCATACCCACTGCCTCTGCCATTTTTCGCTGTCGTCCTTTTTTCTTATTGTGCAAGCAGCAGAGCAGTCGGGTCGGGTCGGTAGATTTTTTCTTCAGGTAGATATTGTTGTTGTCCGTCTGCACAAGCTGACAGCCGTGCTGCCTGTGTGTGTTTTAGTTACGGCACGTGTTTCGTTTCACAGATAAGTACAATTTACGCACACTAGGCTCTACTCCAAACATTGAGTTTGACAATTTTGTGAATTTATTTAACTTTTCTAAAAATAAGGCCTTTTTGATCTGGTTCGCATATGCTCTGGAACCAGTTCGATAGTTTGTGCCGCTAATCGCACTTAAGTACCGATTTCTCGTTTAAGCTACCCTGTGCATCGATATAGACAATCCAAAGTCGCAGGTGTATGATTTTAATGCGTGAAACACAGAAAAATAGTCTCAATTTGCTTTAAATTTAGCCAAGTAGTAATATCCGACAAAAATTCCAGCCATTGTCGCAGTAAATTATCACCTACAAATATATTGTCAAAATATAAATATATCGATACATCAATATGTGCTCAAAACCCCAACTCTAGCAGAAACAAAAAGTCATCTTCAGGCGGCGTTTAGCATTTTTGGAAAAAATTTATAATTTCCAGCAAGTTAAATTAAACTAGAAGTAAAGCACAATGTCGATTTTAGCCTACAACGGTGGCTGTGTTGTGGCCATGCGCGGCAAGGACTGCGTGGCCATTGCGACGGATCATCGCTTCGGTGTCCAGGCCCAAACCATTTCGACGGACTTCAAGAAGGTGTTCCACATTGCCCCACGTATGTTTCTGGGGCTCACTGGACTGCAGACAGATATTCTCACTGTGCGCGATCGTCTGATGTTCCGCAAGAATCTGTACGAGACACGCGAGAACCGTGAAATGGCACCCAAGCCATTTTCCGCTATGCTCTCCAGTTTCCTCTACGAGCACCGTTTTGGACCGTACTTCATCGAGCCCGTGGTGGCTGGCCTCGATCCCAAGACACTGAAGCCCTTTGTTTGCAACATGGATCTGATTGGCTGCCCCAACGAGCCCGATGACTTTGTTGTGGCTGGAACTTGCGCCGAGCAACTGTACGGCATGTGCGAGACTCTCTGGAAGCCAGACCTGGAGCCAGACCAGCTGTTCGAGGTGATTGCCCAGTCAATGATGAACGCCTTCGACCGCGATGCCATGAGTGGTTGGGGTGCCACCGTCTACATAATCGAAAAAAACAAGATCACAGAGCGCTCTCTGAAGACCCGCATGGACTAAATGGTGACTGGGCAGTTCTTTTGGTTATTTTGTAGACAACAGCAACGGAAACATACATTTTATACAAATAAAATTTGTTTAGGTACACAAAATATGCTTTTTAATAGTATTTATCATTTATCTTTCCACTCGAGAGACTTCTTGGCCAGGGCCATGGCCGCCTCCTTTGTCTTGGCCCCACCAATGAATCCGCTGTGGTGGACAAATATGAGATCTTTGATCCCTGCCAATTCGCTGAGCTCTTCATCGCGCTTGCCTCTCCAGGGGGTGGGAAGAAACTTGCTTCCCAAAAAGCTACCGGGACTCAGTGGCACTCCAGCCACTCGCCAGCCGGTACCGTCAGAGAAAATAATCAACTTTGGCACGCCTTCCACATGGTACTCCTTTTCCAGATCGATTAAATGAGCCTTCCAGGGGCAGAAAGTGTCCAATAAGAGAATCTCTCCGGTAGGGTAGATACTCTTTGCCTCTTTCAGAGCATCGCGCACATGGTCCCTGGCCGCAATCCAAGAGCAGGCCACCTCCAAAACGTTCTCCACAAACTCTTTGCCAGCTAGATCCATAGCCTGCTTAAAACGCTGTTCGATATCGACTCCCGTGTCCTGCCATGAGGGATTCAGCCGGCCCACACGTGCCGACAGATGACTGCTTATCCTATAGCGTGGCTCGCCGCCATCAAACATATTCACGCCATTATCAATGGCGTCCAGTTCGATGATGAAATTCCTATAGATCTGCACAAAGGCCAGTTGCAGATTCTCTGGCGACAGCTGGACATTACGCTCACGTTTCAGGACACTCTCGATGACCCGCTCGCCGTAGTGGCTATAGACCAGGCCAGCGCTGCTTAGCCTGCAATGGATTGCACTACATGTAAGATTGAATGGTCTCGATTTGTCAGTGCTTACCGAATGTTGAAGTCCTTGGAGACCTCTGGGCGCAGCATGTTGAATGTCTCTTTGAATGTCTCCTGGTGATGATCGTACCATTTCTTGGCATGATCGTACACGCTGCCCACATCCACTATGATGTCACACTTTTCCCTCAATGCCTTCTCGTCACGACTGCGAAAGATCTCCGCATTCTCGTATTCAGGCAATTGCTTCAGCATAAAGCACGCTACAACTTCATCACAGTGGAAGGTGCCGCTGTGTGTTCCAATCCAAACGGGAGATGGGCGTTTCGGAGGAGAAGCATCATCCATTCTGGTTATTTGTCCTGCGCAAAGTAACTATTTAGTGGGTTTAATTCACTCAAAATCAAGTTTAATTGAAACGCACGAAAAATTAGCCGAAAACGCGGTAAAAATCTGGCCATCAGTGTGACCGCGGACTTATCAATCAAATATACCGTCTGACCCGCAAAAATGTGCCTGAATATTCCATCACATTTTTATAATATCATATCCGATATATACCGGTATACCGTTAATATATTTGAGTTCTGATGCGTGAGACGGGTCACGGGGTGTCTGGGTGTTCTCTCCACAGATACCGTTTCTTTGTATGAACTGGCACATCTATATACTGTATCCCGAAAAGTATATAATCTTCCGTCAACGGTCACCCTGCTGGTCAATGAGAGATGAGCCAACGAAGCGAGTGTAGCGAATACGTTGCGATATCTCACGAGCAAAATATCACAGAGTGCCACCTCTGGAAACCGTTGTTTTTCGAACGTTACATTTGAAAATGTTTATATCGTGCAAGATCCAAAAGTTAAAATTTTTCGAAATGTTTAAGTGGAACAATTAAGGGCTGAACACGAAATAATTGTACCAAGCACTGCCAGCTTATTAGAAAACTCAGTCCACCACTCGTTTGCATGGGCGTGTTGATCAAGAAAATTAGCAAGTGTCGGTTAATTTGTTAAACAACAATTTATTGGAACACCATTCCGATATTCATGCAGGAAATCATAGGTCCGAAAGTGCTGAAAATTTCAGATCGGTTTAGTCAGCATCTTAAACCCAAGACCAACACATGGATATTGATTGGATAAGGCGAAATTCAACAAATTAATCAAGAAATAATGGCAGAAGCCCGTTTGCGCAGAAACATAAGTCGGCAAATACCCGCAATGTAAGATTTAAAGAGTAAAATAAACTATAAGTTGGGTATTAACATTGCTTAATATATTGTGGGAATTGTATAGATTAAAAACACATTATTGAACTGGGATTTGTGATGCGTGATGCGACTTATATAACCAGCTGCTGTTGCCTTAAGTTATTTAGATATTGTATTTCCGTTGATTGTGAGCTAGAAATGTGCAAAAAATAATTAAAACAAGCCCCAGTCAATTGTCTGTTCAAGTGTCTGTTGTTGCGTCTCTGTGAAACAAACATAAATCACTGCTGGCTGATGAGAACGATCACGTGTGCGCGAATACACAAAAAACCGTTTAATTCAAATTGTTACAAAGGCGAATTCATTCTCCACCTGTTTTTCCTCTCTCTCCCATGACCTTCGGGCGTACAGAAAGCTCGGAAATCGACAGCTTCAAAATACAAAACGGAAACGGCAGACAGCCAGCTCAAAACTAGTTTCCAATACACTTTTCCAATTGGCCAGACGAAACGCGGATTAAATTATAATGCACTTTGGATGACACCCAACGTCATACAGAGCGCGGGGGTACAGCTGTGGGGCAGGCTGTTTGTCGGCACTGCAGACATCCGCTTATCATGAGACACGCTTATCGTGAACGTGAACCCCAGCTTAATTCAAAAGTGTGTTCTTATCATTTCAATTTCGTTTGAAGTTCATTGCCATTGGGGAGGCAATACAAAGGTATAGCAAAGCGTATTTCCATAATTACCTTTGTAATTATATTTTCACGCCTATGAACAAATAAACAAACAACTCTAATAAACACCTTTTAGTAGGGGGTATTCAAGGGGTTCAGGGGCATATCGTATGATACGATAGATGTGTGGCACGCTCGTCTTTCTATCTATAAGAAAGTTTACAAATTTGAGCTTAAGACTACGTGCTAAGCCACTCTAAAACTTTGTATGTGAATAGTAAACAGAAGAAATATTCCATCTAACTGCCAGTTTCCATAACTTTAGAGCCTTATTTTGAATGTAGATTATTTTCCAGACCCATTTTGATTAAAAGGTATCTTTCGGTCGTCGCCCTGTAATATTTACGTTACGCTACGCCCATTTAACTTAAATTAGCGCCACATTTTTTTAGAAACAAATTGCTTAATAATTGTTCGCACAAATATGTGAGAAATGCTTGAACGCGACAAAACTCAGTTAAGGGCAATTATATAGAGTAGTGTAAGCAAAAACATATTAAATTTAAATGCGATGACTAGTATGTGCTTATACGCAGAATTCCATAAGCAAATCAACAAAAATGTTATTATGTAAATGTCTGTATTTCAATTGAAATTTATACATGAATTTGATTGGACTTAAGAGCTGAGCTGCTTTTATGCTCCGAAGAGATCAAAGAGACGAAGTGTTCTATTCATCTTAGACAGATGACATTATGCATTATGCAAGTATCTTCCGACTTGTACATGTACGAGTAGATGCATTATGCATATTCTTGTTTGAACCTGAACCTCAATCGGAATGCGAGAGCTGAACTTTAGTTGCCTCGTCGGGTATATCTGTCAACTGAGGGGTTGCTGCTGCTGCTGCTGCCTTGGCGGTTTAGCATTTGCGAAACAAATAAAGATTCAACAAAAATTATAAAATTCAGTAAATCGATTCCATTCTGCGTCGATGGGAAGACTTATTGTGTGTTGTGTCGTATGCCGCATTCAGGCGGTAACCGGTTTGTCGGCAGTTCAATTATTTTTCCTGCACACAACAACAAAAACAATAACAACGGCGGAATCAATGGAATATCTTTTAAGGTGTTTTTTTGTGTTTGCCGCTAAATCGATTACCAAATATCCAAGATTCGTATTGACACAAATGCCAAAGCGACAATGCACGGGAGCTTTAGCTTTGATTGTACCCTCTCCTCACCCACAAGTGCATGATGGTTTTGAGTAGATGATGGGTAGAGTCTTCCCATAAGTATCCGGTAATATGTCACAATAAATCTCCAATAGGCCACTCGGCATATAGAAGGAAGGAACATTTAACTATCTGTAGATATTCCATCAGCCATTGATACTCGTACTTATAGTTCCCACAAGACTTCTGATCAGTCCAGGGTAGCAAAAGCTGCTACCTTCCTTTTGTTTCCCACCTAGCTACCTACCCTTCTTTTCTTGTTTTTATTCTGCTCTGTTTTGTAAGCTCAGCTTAATGGAAAGCTCTCTCTCTCTCTCCCTCTCTCTGCTGTTAATCCGAGTATTGTTACCTACCTACTACTGTTTTTGTTGCTATTATTGTTACTCGTTGAATGTTGTTGCTGTTGTTGTGGCTGCTGTTACTCATACGTACTGTTGTAACGGAACCAACCGAAAGCAAGCAAGCACAATACTCGACCAAAGCTCGGTCTCGGCTTCAGTTTGTTTTGACCGCGCGACGCGCTCTGAAGCTACAAAAATCTTCTCCTCCGATCCAAAGCGAACCCCCGCGGATGTGGACGTAAAACAGAAAATAGTCATACTTGTATACTTAACGCTTAACTTATTCTCTCAAGTGCGTGGCGAAAAAGGCTTTAAATTTAGCCAAAAGTAAAAAATTAAAAAAACCCTTTAAATGAATATTCATAAATGTGCGGTGTGGCATTAGTGGCATTGATTACTTAGCTGCCTCTGCAGTGATGTGATTCAACTTCAGTTCCATGCACGCGACTCCGTTGGCAATGCAATCAGAGGCCCCTCCACAGCCCACACAACCCCACCTTATGTGTTACCCTTTTGCGGCATATGGCTACAAGTCTACGGTTGCCAGTTCTTGGCCATTTTTGCATTAAGAATCTTTAATTGCAAAATACAAGTGCCTTTGTTTGTAGGCCAGGGGAACTGTTGCCAAATATTTGTTCTATAAATCCATAAAATAATTAAACAGACAAGAACTCAAACAAAAACTCCAATAAAAATAGCAATTATAATAAACGAAAGTATATACATATATCAGCAAAAGAACATTGAGATAGGGCATTATTGTTTACAACTCTGATCGGTCTGTATTTGTTTACGGTTTTTCGATTCATATATGATATATATAATATATACACCCCCTTGGAATGGAATCTGCTCAGTGTGTTACAAGGTTTCATCTCAAACGGTTCCCACTGAAGATCTGCCAAAAATTCAGTGTCTGCTGAGCGTGTGACTGACTGCATTAAGCGGATCGGTTCATATTAGATATTCAAATCTACTAATGTTTTAGTGTGGTTTTAGGTGCGCCTGATTAAATCATATCATATATCATACGATCTTTCTTTCGGTTCATCTGTGGCGATCAATATCTTAACCGGTTTAAGTGTGGCAATACGCATCTTATTGACGTATGATCTGCCACATCCAAAAAATGAAAAAAATAAAAACAAAAGAAAATAAACTCCAACTCTAACCACAGCAGGCACATGACATCTGAACTGGTTTTAAAAGCATCTTCAAGGTTTTACCTTTTTGTTTGTGGTCTGTTGTGTTATTTTGGCATACTTTGCCAAGTCACATGCAAAAGTTTTCGGAGGGAGCTCAAATGTCAATAAACTTTATACATAAAAGTGTTACAAAGATCTCTCTCCCTTTCTCTCTCTTGCAATGTACTGAGATACATTTATTCTGATATGCAAATTCTTGAATTCCCTGCGAAAAGTGAAAGAATAATATTACGCATAAATTTGATGTAATTTATTGTCAGATTTGTTTGAATTAAAACTGAATGCACTTCCACTTAAAAACCATTAGCGCCACACACAAAAGCCAATGTCATAACGAAACGTATGGACTCTCCTGTGAGTGTATAAGCCAGAAAAAGAAATTATTTCCAATACGCACATATAAACACGTAACATTCATTTGTGTACCCAAAAAAAAAAAATCTTTAAGCATTCCCCCAACCGCATAATAAGCAAAAGAAAGCAACAGCCGATCGATGGCACCACTACGAATATTCAATTAAAAGGTCTTTTGTGTTCATTCGAAAAGATTTTTGTTGCCACTTAGCACTCGCTTTGGAGTCTCTCTTACTCATAAGTAAACATAATGATACACAGATGATGATGGGCTTATAATTTCCAACTAAATGATCGCTAGACAGCAGTGAAGTGAAAACGTACAGCAAACACAATTCAAACAGAAAATCCAGAAGCAAACAAACACCTGATCAAACACAGCGGAGCTAAAGGCGGCGCATCAAGTATACGCCACCATGTCCAATGGCAAGGCTGCTGCCGCAGCTGAGAAAAATGGGTAAAAAATTACAGTGCATTCTCTCATTCCCCCCGCGCAGAACAATTTAAGCTTAAACAATAACCCAATAGTTAATTGCTAACTGAAATTAAATACATAACATTTTCTGTTTGTAGCTCATTGAACGATCGGCCATTGTTCATGCAAAATGGCAATGGGGGACGTCTGGCCCCCGTAAACGATGTGGAAGTCAGCAACTTCCGACGCGCCCTGCCACAGTTTTTAGCTGTTAGTATTAAGAACATATTGCTATTCGGTAAATAAAATTTCAAACTCTGTTTATTTATGATATTTAAAGGGAATGAAATTAATTTGCTAGAGAAATTGATTGAAGATTCGATTTGATAGACGTAAATATGGTTATTGCATGTAATAATTATCGAAACTTGTTAGGTATACTACGAGCGTGTCGGCATATTGCTGGAATTTCCATAAAATATATTTTTTAAATGCCATATGGGATAAATTTGCATTTAAATCTTATTAATTTGGCAGGTTTAACATACCTAAAATTGAGTCTCATTAGCAAGTGTTTAATTAGGTGATTTTTATGTATAGTTAAATATTCCATAAATAAAATTTTGCATTTGATTTTAGTTAAAATTTTCATAAATTTATAATTTTACCAACAAAATTAAAAATATTTCTAGATTTAAATCCAAAAAAATTGTGAAGTTGCAGCATTCACCAGCAGATCCCCCAATAATCTCCAAAATATGCTCCCTAAACTTAATTTCGTTCCCTAAAAACATAACAAAATTTTGTATCGATCCTATGATGCATTTTATTTATTTATATCTACAGGCTATGGCATGACTTTGGGCTTCCCCACAATTGTGATACCTGCCATCCAAGGAGGCGAGGGCCGCAGCGAAACAAACAGTGATATAATCCTCAACAAAGACGAGATATCCTGGTTCAGTAGGTCACAAACATTGAGCTTGACTTTCCTGGTTTACTGATCTCCGTTTGACTTCTTCAAGGTTCCATTAATCTGATATGCGTGCCGCTGGGCTGCCTGTTCTCTGGCGTGCTAACACAGCCGCTGGGCAAGCGACGTGCAATGCAGGTAATCCATTATCTATAACCCACTTAGATGCAATCATCCTCATCATCACCTCTTACCCATGATCATGATGCTCCCTCCTTCTCGGATTACCAAATCACATGGAACATGGAACATTGACACACTGATCCGAAATCGGAGCTGCGTGACATCTACTGACTTTTGTTGTGTAATTATGTTGAGTCGTTATTCCAATGCTTGTGTTGTTGTTTTTTGCAGTTTGTCAACCTGCCCATACTGGCGGCCTGGCTAATGTTTCACTTTGCAACGCGCACGGAGCATCTGTATGCGGCTTTATGCCTCGCTGGTCTCGGCGGTGGATTAATGGAGGCGCCAGTAAGTGTATACCCCAACCACAACAACAAAAACATGTTAATTAATTGCTCTGAAAACACGTGGCTATAATATGTGCTCTCGTCATCATTGTTTGATTTATTGTATCTTTTGTTTGAGCAAAAAATTTGCATATTTCTAGCGAAAAAGGGATTCACATTTTCCCCCAAAAGATTCAACATTGATTTAGGTGTGAAAAAAGATTACAATGAGATAAAATACAATGGAAAAAGGTGCAATGCATTGAATGGAGAATATAGTAGAGGGGGACAGCCAGAATGATAGACATTTAATTTTTAGGCTTGGTTAAAGTTACATTGACTGGATATGGGCTGGTAAAAAAGAGCCGCTTTCCCGGTTTAACTTTATCGTTATAGATACACGTGACAAAGCGTTTCGATCCACTGTTCAGCATGCCGCAGCCGACCTTGTCGGCCCCTTTGTACACCATGTTGGCAAACAATCTCATTTTTCTGGTGGCATTTCTCGGAAAGCGTCTCACATCAATGGGCGTAATTTGTTTGTAATATAGGAACCATTTATATATAAAAAAGTACATGGCCTTGGCAGGATACTCCTCAAGATCCAAAAAGTCCGAATTCTCTGCCACATTGGGAAAGCGGAATGTGTTCACGCAGAATGAGTTCTCAAAATCCAGATTGCATTGATTGGTGATCCGCATCGCCATGACCGCCAGCTCATCGTCCCAACTGACCATTGGGATATTTCGCGCACGAGGCAGGCCATAAACTCCGCCATCGTTCAATCGGTTGCGTACCTTATTGTGTAGCTGGACAATATTTTTCTTGCACTTTTTGAGTTTCACGCCCTCGTGGCTTTTCCCACACTTGGGACCCCACTGGCAAGGCAACAGATATGTATTTTAAATTCACTTAACTGATGGATCATCGATCACCCGATATACAGATACTCACAAATTTCGTATCACAGGTAAGGTGGCGAACTTTCTTTGGGCAGAGCTGCGACATGCAATAGTTTGGCGAGCTTGTTGGCTTGGGAAACGATTTGCGAGCCACGTGAAAAGGCCATTTCGTCTTATAGGTAATGATTTCAACTGAAATAAAATAGAGTTTACTTAGCAGCAACAGCACAGCAATCCAAAAGATGTTCATTTTCAAACTAATGCAGAGATGAATATCACAGGGATCTCTTATGGATTTCGTTTAATTGCAATTTTATGGTTCTATAAATATTTAACTTGATTTCTTACGCTTTTAGAGGGTTGTTTTAGGAATTGGGGACCCAAACAATCCACACTTTATGGGAAAAAAGTTAGTTGCGTTGAACATAAAGTCTCTAAATGTTTTTCTAGTGCAGAAATAGTCAAGAAAAAAACCAATATTCATCTTCGATGCTATAGTTTTCCTTTTGCAACAATGGCATTGTCAATTGTGGTTTTTCGACCTTGACCAACTCCTTGAGAGCTTCAGCTGCCACTTGTGTCTTATGTTCGTGCCACTTGCTAATGCCATTGCAGCCGCCGTAGCAATTGCGAGATGCCAATCGCAGCCAACGCTTAATGTCACTCTGTGTAACGAGCAACCTTGATGCTTCTTTCAGGTGCTTACCTATGTAGCGGAGATCACAGAGCCCAAGTATCGTGGCATACTGTCAGCGCTGGGCACCACCTGTGTCATCACCGGTGTCTTCATACAGTTCATACTTGGCTCCCTGATGGACTGGAGGAGTGTGGCCGCGGTGAGTTCTGCCTTTCCAGTGATTACCATCGTCATGCTGTGCTTTGTCCCGGAGAGTCCTGTGTGGCTGATCAGGGAGCAGCGTTTCCGCGAGGCCGTCAAGTCGCTGCAGTGGCTGAGGGGCTGGGTGCCAGAGCACAAGATCGAGGCGGAATTTAATCAACTGTACGACGAGCTAATCACACAGAAGGCCATCGAACTCACAGCCGATGGAGTGCCAGTGGCAGGACAACGTCGCACTCTGGGTCAGCGTCTGCGAATGTGGCGCAAGAGAAGTTTCCTGGTGCCCTTCCTTTTGGTCTCGTTCGCCTTTTTCACGGGACACTTTTCGGGCAAGACGCCGCTGCAGACGTACGCCGTGCAGATCTTCCACACCCTCAAGGCACCGATGAATAAATACCATGCCACCATTCTGCTTGGTGTGGCCGAGATGTTGGCCACCATTCTGGGCGTAATACTCATCCATTTTACGGGCAAGCGACCGCTGGTGCTGGTCTCCACCGTGGGCACGGGCCTCTGCTTCTTGGGCACTGCCACCTATGCGCACTTTCTCAACGAAGTGCCCGGCTTCACGGTCAACAATGTGGTGGTGAATGCCTCATCGATTTTCCCCAAGGAGGGCATCCTCTCGCAGGCGAACATATCAAAGATCTTTGAGAACGAACAGCAGGCCATTCTACAGGATCAGATGGATCAGCTGACGACGCAGCTGCCAGAGATGTTCGAGACAACCACAATGTTTGATTCGGATTCGTGGAATCGCACCAAAAGGGAACTGGAGACCACCACCGATGGTGCGCCCATGGAGAGCACAATGTGGCCCGAGCCATCGAGCAGTCCGGAACCGCCAGCGATGCCCAGCAGCTCCACAAAGCCACCCATTGGTGAGGAGCTACTGCTGGCTGTGCCGAAGCAAGAGAAAAACTATCTCGTGTGGGTGCCACTCATTCTGCTGCTGCTCTCCGCCTTCTTCTCGCATCTGGGCATACGCATGTTGCCCTGGATCCTGATTGGTGAGGTCTTTCCCGCAGAAATACGCAACAGCGCATCGGGTTTCGCTGGCGGAGTGGGCTACATCTTTGGTTTTCTGGCCAACAAACTGTTTCTGTGGATGCTAGCCACCTTGACGTTGCCCGGAACGTTTGCCTTTTATGCCACCGTTGCCTTTATAGGCACTGTGGTGCTGTATTACACGCTGCCGGAGACCGAAGGACGTACCCTGGGTGTAAGTACATGAATTATCCTACAGTTATATCGATTATAATGTTGCTCTGTTGTTATAGGAAATTGAGGCTCACTTCTCCAAGAAATCCGATATGAATTTACTACGCAAACAGCCGAAAACGAAGACGCCCATCAAAGATGCAATCCAGATGCCAGGCAATGCCATCAATGTGGACACAATGCAGAGTTTTCATGTGCCAATCACATCCCAGCAACAGTCCAAGATTATACATTTGCAGCAGAGTGACTTTACGCCCAGAGCGACACAGAATGGACGAAATGGGGCCACAAATCTGGCGTTTGAGGAGAGCAGCAATACCACACATCTGTGAACCACACATCCCTTCCAACATTCCAGTGATATTTCTGAGAAATAAATTTAAATATTTAGTTATATGTTTACACTATGATGGGCTTTGTTGTTTTTGTTTTTACACTCTCCATTCCAGCGTAAGAATTGAATTTCATGAAGCATTCAATCAATTTGTAACTACTCTTTTTTTATGTGAACTCGAGGACTTTTTTAACGTAATTTAAAGCATGCTTAAAAGTAATATTGTATAACACATTTCCGTAGAGAGATATATATGTATATATATATATAGATTTAATATAGATAGATGCAGCTACTTCTGAATGGTGCTCCCCCTATGTCTCATCGTCCTGCAGCTCAAGGAATTGTGTACAAATGTCGCGACTGCATTCGCCCTTGTTGTTGAATAGGAATTTATAATAATGTCCATCCGCACAAATGGCTGAATCGAACGAAAAAAGCAACCAGAACAAAGGGTAAATGGGAATCCAAGGAGAAAGGATTGATAAGAAGAAACTCACCAACAACCGAATTTGGATCGGCACCAAAGGCACATACACACCGCGGTCCCTGTGGTATGGAGAACTTCACGAAACTCCATTGACTTGAGAAATACTTGGGTATTATGGGTAGCGATGATTCGCGCGGCTTGTTATCCTCCAGATTGAAGACATGTATGGTGCCATGGTCCGAGGCAACGACAACCATGGTGGACTGGTGATTAAAGTTGATGCAAAATATATTTGCATGATTGCTGCCACGTCGCAGCTCCGAGACCTTCTTCCCATTCTCCGTATCGAAGATGCGTATGAGGGTGCCCTTCTCGCCGGCGGTGGCCAGACGTGTGCCCTGAAGATTCAGTGCAATGCAACTGATGGCCGCCTCGTGGGCAATCACCTCCAATGGGGCACGCTCCGTGTTGGCAAGATCCACGATCTGGACATGGCCAGTGCGTCGGCCGGGGAATGCGAGTAGGCTTTTATTGCTGTGGGGGCAGAGCACGCACAGCCCATTGGGATTGGCGCTGGTTTCGAAGACATGCAACTGCTGCGGCTGCTGGGTGAATGTAAATACCTTGATCACACCCTCCAGCACCACCACAATCCGATCCCGACGCAGTCGCACCGCACGAACCGCCTGATTGAAGTCCAACGATATGGCTGGTGATTTTTTCAAATCATCCCAAACGATCACTTTGTTTGGTGGATAGAGCGGCCGTATGCCGCCACCCACTAAGGCCAGATAATTGCAGCGAAAGAGCATTTCCACATGGCTGAGACCGCCTGAGAGACAATGAGTTGACAGTAAAATTGGATTAAACAGGGGGTCTTGTCGCATCGTTTCGTGGGAAATGAAATGCATTCAATGCATGTACATACCTTCGGGAAAGTATTGCCTTTCCTTTTCCTTCAGCGGATCGCAGTTGTAGACCCGAAAGCCCGTGTCCGTGGCACAGGCAAAACATCCTGCAACGCAATAGCAAATTTTTGTCGAAAATATTTATATTATATTATGTGGGTGCGTGTATGTGTGTGTGGAGGCGCTGACTGGCTCTGAGCTGGGGAATATGTAAACAACATACCTTGGTCCTGATTGAAGGCTGCGTAAAGCATCCCATTGCCGTACGGATTTTGCTCCGTCAGATTCATTGCGTTGGCTGTATGATGCTGATGCTGCAGTCGCCGTCTATTTGTCGTTTTAAGTTGGGCAGAAAATAATTATCAGCAGGAGGACGGTGCGTATAAAAACAATAGATCAGTGTTGGTAACCAGCTGGGGTTATATCGATCGGCTATCGGTATCACCACTAACCGTACACATTAATAGGCTGTTTACACTGCTTGCGTCTTTGCGTGCTGCCGGATAAGCTGTTTTTGCAGAATTCCAACATTTGGTTGCTTTCCAAACACATAAATTAGCTATTCTCATGACGCAATAGCCTGTGTCTGCCAGTGTAAGCTCTATTCTACGCCACTGCGTATATTCCGACATCGATAGCAAAACGCGCGGCAGTGCAAACAGGCTACAACAATATAGTATGGGCATTTACAACACTAGACATCTTTAATGTGATTTATTTGCTTTTCTGCTCATGAAAGCCAACAAAAACGCCACAGTACAGCTCAGATCGTGGGAATGAATGTATATCTAATATATATAAATATATGTAAGGCGATCGCAATACAATGGAGGTCTGCACAGATTTCATTAATTGGGGTAGGGGAAGCATCGAGGCGTGTCGCACCTGCGGAACATATTTTGACACCGACGATGGTCTGATTAAACCAATATTTGAACCGACGACCGGTGTCGAAGCTAAATCCGATGTTGGAATGGCCGAAATACTGAAAGAGATGGGCGCCTGGAATTTGTTGGTAAGTAAGCCATGGCCCTCTTTTATTCGGCTATAATCACAATTGTTGTTACAACAGGTAACAAAGGAGGACGGTCGTCCGCAGTACATGTGCATTTCCTGCATTGCCGAATTCCAGAGATTGTTGAAATTCAAGTGTAGCTGCCTCGAGACTCATGAGCAGTACGTGGGGCATCAGCTAACCAGTACTGGGATAAATATCAAAAAGGAACTCGACCACCAGTCGGAGGAGAAGTTCTGTGGCTTCATTTATCTGGACTCTGACGAGGAAGTGAGCGACGAAGATGGCAGTCGACGGGTCTCCGCTGCATTCGATATGCCACATGTGCCCATCAAGGAAGAGCACATGGCCCGAGTGCCGGCACAACAGAGTGAAATGAAATTTGTGCCGCCACAACCGCAGGCACTGCTTCCTCCGCTTCCTCCGGTGGCTGTAAAAACAGAGGACGACTACGAGTTCAAGTTTCAGATTGCTCCCGAAGAAAAATTAGATCCAGATGCTGGTGGCATCCCCTATGCAAGTGCAAGCAATGCCAATGCCATGTCCTATGATAGTGGAGGCAATCCCAATGCCATATCATATGAAAATGAGAGCCAATCAAACGCCGCCATATCCTATGAGAATGAAAATGAGAGCGACGAAGAAGAAGTCGTCAAATTCACCTATGACGATGATGAAGATGCCACGACAATTCCCCAGCCTATAAAATCAACGTCTGTGCTCTGTAAGATCTGCTTCCACGAGTTCCCCAGTCAGGAGCTTCAACAGACGCACATGCAGCACATGCACCTTTTCAAGGATTGGGAGTGTCATCTCTGTGGCAAAAAGTTCATTAATTCCAAAGAGTCACTCATCAAGTTGCACATCAAATTTCACAAACTGCAGCGACGTTTGAAATGTCCGATTTGTGGCTTCTTTTGCAACTCAAAGGAAACCCTCAAGGAGCACAAACGAGCTGTGCACTCGCGCACCGTCTGCCAATATTGTGGCAAAGGTATGTGACATCCAAAACATTGATATAATCATCCTACTATTGCCATTCCTCTCATTGCAGTTATGAAACCCAATATGCTGCAGTCGCATATGATGAAGCACATGCATGGTAAGTGGCCTGGAATTAATTGTGCACTTTATTCCCTTAATTTTCTCATCTTTTGGTTTGTCTACAGAACGTGAAGCTGCGTTGGCCCAAAAGCTGACATCTGCAGAGAGTCCAGGTACTTCTGCTTCAGACCAGAGGCTGATGCCTGTTGAGTGTTTTGGTCCTATCTCTTCACCCAAAAAGAAGCTTAAAGTTGTGAACCATATACGTCCACCGGCTGCAGCTCAGAAACTGACAATTGTGGACCAGCCAGAGACCTCATCTGCAGGCCAGAAGCATGCCTTAATGCGAAGTCCAGTTCCGTTTTCTTCAATGCCTTCTGCTGAAAAGAAGCTTAAATTTGAGGAACTTACAGATGCTTCTCCCATCCAGAAGCAGCAGCAGCTGGATGAGGGACTTCCGGTGACCTTTTCTCCAATTACGCTGCATTCTCCAGTCCAGCAGCATCAGCAACTGCATTCTCCAGTCCAGCAGCAGCAGCAACTGCATTCTCCACTCGAGCAGCAGCAGCAACTGCATTCTCCATTCGAGCAGCAGCAGCAGAAGCTGCCAACCGAGGAACAGGAGCAGGAGGATCAGCACAAAACTGAAGACAGTCCACTAGTGAATTACTCTCCCGTAATGCCCATTTGTGTCATACAATGCGCATTCTGTAGCGATAATTTTGAGGAGGCCCAGCAACTGCAGGACCATGTGCTGGCCAAACACAAGGATATGAATAGTCCACCACCGAAAACCAAGCCACCACCGCTGCTTCGGCCCTCACCAAAAGCCATGGACATAGACATGGACACCGATGACACTTCCTCCCAATCGGATTCAACGATTTCTGCTAAGGAACGCTCCTCCACACTGGGTGTAAGCCAGAATAGCAGCTCTCGCAGCTACAATTCCTCCAACAACGATTCGTACAACAAATCCTATTGCAAGTGTCACATATGCGGCAAGCCATTCGATTTGAAAATCAAACTTAATCGACATCTCAAGCAGCACAACAAGGCGCCCTTCTAGGCGGATCTACGCCACGTTTTTTTTTGTGATTTTTCGTTGTTGAAATAGCAGCACATTCTGGATTGCATCCGTAATATATGTATTCTTATGCGTACGACTGGGTTCCAGTTATTATTGTTCACAATTCATATGCACAAATAACATCAGTTCTTCCTTAGGAAAATGCATTTGCCATGCTCTCATTTATGTACTGTTTAAGCTAATCGTAGTTTAAGCTAAGAATTAAAGTGGATAAATTAAAGATTTACATACATATATACTATATGTGGTACCATAGGCAATGATGCTAACGTTCATCATCAAAGCAAGGATTGTAGAAGGAATCCTTGAAGCAAATGGCTGGCCCCAATGGCCGTCAAGTAGTCCAGCAATAAATAAAGTTTAACGTTTCCACATGGAAATTTAAAAAACAAAATTCTGAATTAAAATCTTCTTTGAACAACAATTTAGAGCATTATTTGGTAAGATGCTCAAGTTCATATATGAATAAAAAATAAATGCGTTTTTTAAACAACTTTACGGCAGTTAATAAAAATGTTTGTTTTAAACAGTTCTTGAGGAATATTCAATATATTTTTTTTATATTTAAAACATTAGTATTTTCTGTAGAAGTCAGGGAGCTGGCTTTAGCCCGTGCAAGTCTACATGTCTACATAATAAAGGTTGAAAGTACAAAAATAAATTCAGAATTTTAAAATTAATTCTGAATCTATTTTTTTTTACAGATAGAAAATGAGCAGCAGTAAAAAAAAAATTTGGTTCATTTGATTCAGTTTGAGTTTTATTGGGGGTTTCTATGTGTGTGTGTGTGTATCAACTCGCGAGAGGACGCGCTAAGCATTAATTATTTGCAAAAACTGTTTGCCTAAATATTAAAATTATAAATTACACGATGTGTTAAGAGTAAATCAAAGAAAATATGTAACCCAAAGTGAAGGTAAACAATGTGATTAACAAGCCTCTGCCACTGGGACTGCACTCCTAATCCTCCTGCTGCTAATTACCATTCCCACTGGCCGCTGCCTTCAGCACTGTTCCCGGCACTAGTTTCTTAGCCTCTCCCCCGGCCGTCGTTGTCACAGTTATCTTGCCACCTGCAGCAGCAGCAGCTCCAGCGGCCGTCACCATGGGTATCACCTTCATGTTGGACAACGGCTTGAGGTTCATTCCCTGCAAACCCTGCGAGAAGAACAACTGTCCGCCATTGCCCTGTACAGCAAACATGAGATTATTGCCAGCCGTTGCGCCTCCAGTGACTGTTCCTGTGGCATTGCCGCTCACCGTGCTATTCGAAGTGCCTTGCTTGTTGGCCAACAAGACATTTTTGGCCAGACGCAGGGTCTGTGTGCCGCCAGCACCAATCAGCAGGGTCTTTGGTGCTGTTGCGATGCCACTGGACGCCACTGTGGTGAGGTGGTTGCTGTTGATGCTGTTGATGCTGCTGCCGCTGGTACTGGGCGCCAATCGCAACAATTGATTGCCCATGATCACGGTCTGTATGGGTGCGCCGCCCGAGCGTGCGGGAATCTGTCAGGGAAATGCATTAATAAAGGATTGAAGAGGGAGATTTCTTTGCTGGTTTGCTTACCGCTCCTTGAATCTTCACCGTCTGCCCGCCAATCACAATGCTCTGTGTCGTACGCACGGCATTTGTTCCCGCTGTTGTGGTGGTCGCTGTGGGTTGGGTGGTCACGACACTACCGCCTCCCAGCTGCTTGATTGCCTTGGCATGCAGCAGCAGTGGCTTACCCGGCAGCACTGTCGTCTTGCCAATGATCTTGGGCACCATTGTCGTTCCTCCTCCTGCACCCGTTGCACTCACAATGCGCGCCATCGTGGGCAGGTGCTTGGCCTGCACTTGAATGGGCTGCGTTGTTTGGCTTTGATTGGGCGTCAGCGTGATGACATTGCCCGCCGAGGAAGTTGCCAACTGAATGATGTTGCTGCCAGCCGTGAGCAGTTTGCCTCCAGTGTGCTGCTGCTGCTGCTGCTTTTGCAGCAGACTATCCAGCGTGATGATGTGACCACCCTGAGTGGCATTCGCTGCTCCTGCTGCTGTGCTTACGGGCGTGCTTGTGGTGCGTATCACACGCGTGGCATTTGTGGCGCTGACCACCGTTGTGACGCCACCTCCTCCGGCCGCTGCTTGCTTAAAATTCTGCAGCACAATCCTTTGCTGTGGCGACGACAGATTACCCTTGACAGCCGCCGTTCCACTGCCGCTGGCCGTTGTGGTGAGTATTTTGGGTGTTGTCTTGGCCAGTGCTTGGAAAACAATCTTTTTGTTCGACGAAATGGCTGTGTTACCTGTTGGGAAAGTATTAGAGTATTAGACACCACAAGTGGTGGGGAGGGCGGTTGATGGGCACTTACCCACTAATATCCTTTGCTGTGGCGTACTCTGCACTGGCGAGGCAATCTTTGCTGTGCCGCCCATTGCCTTCTGCTTCAGTTGCTGCTGCTGCAAAGTTGCAAAGGCCTGTGGGGACATCTTCACAATGGTTCCACCTGCTCCTGCTCCACCGACGGCACTCACGACTGAGCCACTGCTCGTGGCAATGGTTATGGGGGAAGCTGTGCTGGTTTCTATTGATTTATTTGATATAATAGAGACGGCGCCAATCTTTTGCTGCACCGGACGCACTGTCGATTGGGGCACTACACGGGGTCCCAGTATCTGCACTTGCGTGGGCTTTGTGTGTCCCGTGGCTGCCGCACCCGCAGGCAGCAATCGTATTATATTCTTGGGCATCTGCGGGCGTGGACTAATTGTCATAGCCTTGGGCTTGCCCACCACTTGCGGATGTTGCTGCTGCTGCTGTGGCGAGTGCTGCTGCTGCTGTTGGTCCAGGGATTTGATAAAGTTGGCCATTTTGCTGGTTGTCGGTGGCTTTTTGATCGTCAGCTTTTTGTTAATAGCAATCGTTGGGGATGATCCCCCTGGCGTGGTGGCCACATGTACCGTCTGCATGCCCGTGGGCGTCGATACCAGTATGGGTGTGGTATTCCTTTGTGGACTGATCTTCGATATAGCAAAATTGACCGTCTTTGGGCTACCCACAGCCATTGGGAGATGCACTGCACCCATGGGCACGGGCTTGAGCAGGGATTTCTGCATTTTTTGCAAGGAGTTGGGCGAGGAATTAGCAGTGTTGGGCGAGAGTGCATTTCCTACACCCTGTGGTGTTGCGTTGTTGTTGTTGTTGGCAGGTGGTATATTGTACTTGAGAGGCGGCACTGGGGGGCACTTGACAGGCAGCGGAGAGGTTTTCTTCACTTGCAGCAGAGTTCCAGGTGCCGCAGAGACAGGAGGATTACCCACAGAGGGCACCAATGCTGGCATATCATGCAAATCAGTGGAGCTATCGCCATCCTCCTTCTTTGGCTTCGCGAGCTGCTTCCTTTGCTGCTGTTTCTGCTTCACCAGCGACAGATTATGCTTGTGCATCCGCTCGAACTCCTCCTCGCTGCGATTGCGATGCAAGTATATCCAGATCTTGCGCTTGGCATCGTACTTCACGCACGGATCGATGCCGCCATGCATGCGATCCAGTGCTCCACTGACAATCGTCTGCAGCACATTCTCCGCCGCCTGATGATTGACATACTGCGAGCACTTCAGCAGCTCTGAGATTTCCGAACGAGTGCCCTCGCCATTCGGTAGCCGGGCGGTGGCATCGCGCACCAGCGTCAGAATGGTCACAAACGGCGGTCGATCGTCCACCATTACGGCATGTCCGCGAGCCTTGTTCAGCGCCAAACTCTGGGTGTAGATGCCCTTGACGGGACCCACCACACTCTCGTAGCCATTCAGGCGATAGGTGAACGGCTGATGGGGATGCTCGAAGCGTAGCCTCTCCTGCCGCTGGAACTCCAGCATGTCCGCCTGGCTGGCGGTGCGCACCGTCCAGGTGGTGGGGCAACGTGGCGGCGGTGTCGGCGTCAGCGTTGGTGTGGCATCCGCGGGCATGGTCGTCGCAATAAACATGGCACCCGGGCAGGGATTCAGATGCACCGTCGTCGCTGTGGGTTGTTGCTCCTCCTTTTGGGTCTTCAGCCAGTACTGGCAGAGGGTGCACAATCGTGCATCGGAGTCCCTGCCAGCGCCAATCCACTGGTAGATATTCAGCATGGTTTTGTGCTCTATGTAGGGCACATATTCCGCCGGCAGTGGGCCAAAATCAGCAGCCAGAAAGTTGACTGCGGACTGCAGTAGCAGCGACCAATCGGGCTGCTGCATGCGCAACACATCGCCCGTGGGTATGGCCGCATCGGAATGTTTCTCCCGCCAGTTGGCCAACAATAGCTGCAGCTCTCCGTAGGTCAGACGATGCTGCGGCGTGGAAACAAACAAATCTCGCAGCAGAGAGAAGTAGCAGGCAGGGCGAGGCGATGCCGCTGGTCGAACCACTTCCGCCCCTCTGTTGGGGGGACTGCCAACAATGTGGACAGCCGCCTTTAGGGCAGGATTGGTTGGGGAATTGGTTTTAAGATTGGAAATTGTGGTTGAGGTTGAGCCGGGCGTAGGCACACTTATCGGTTCCAGCTTGGGTATCAATGCGGGCACATGAGCAACAGCAGCAGCAGCAGCAGCTGCCACAATTTTTTGTGGCATTTTCTTTGGCATTGGCTCCTTGGAAACATGATCCTGCTGATGATGCTGCTTCTGCTGCTGCTGCTGTGGTTCTTCTTTGAGGAAAGTATCCTCCTCGGGCTCATTTTTGATCACACCAATGGGCACCAGAGCGGGTGGATCGGGATTGAGGCGGGCCAGCAATGCCTTTGGCTTGCGTCCGGGCTTGAAGCTGCCCACAAACTGTGCCCGCGTGCAGATATCCCTCAAGCGCACCTCCGATGTATCGAATTCTGGACTTTCCTGTAAAGAGAGAAAAGTTGGGAAAAACATAACAAGTGTCCCCCCCATCCTTCGGTTTAGCAATGCTTACTGGTTGCTCCACTTTCCGTCGCTTGTAGTCGCGCAGATACTTTTTGAAATTCTTATCATTCAACTGCGGTATCCGGCCAGCCTGCATGGTGCGCAGGATATGCTCATCATCCACACCGGGGCGACGCTTGAAGAAGGTATTGTAAATGCTTTTCTTGTCCGCCGCATTCGAGGATCGCACGGTGGTCGTCTCCAGCTTGGGCTCCGCCGCTTCCATTTTGGGCAGACGCTGCATTAGATCCGCGCACTCCTCGTCCTCCTCCTCGGCACTGATCTCGCCCGTTGGAACCTTCAGCTCTTGCATGACCTCCAGTAGCTCCTGGACATACCGCTTCTTGGCCCGTTGAGAGCACAACTTGTTGTCCATCGCGAGCGCCGGGGGCTTACGCTTGCGCGGGCGTGGCATCGTCGACTTGGAGGCAGAGGCAGCAGGCGCCTCATCCGGCGGCGACGAGGTGTACGCCAGCTTGAGCATGTGCTCGCGGGAGAGGAAGAGCTCCTTGGCCAATTGGCTGAGACGTTCGGCCTGCTGGAAGCGGAATTCACGGCGACTAGAGTGCTGGATGCTGCGGCGCAGCTTAAGGACATCCGGCCGGAGGTTGCCGTCCTCCAACTGCCGCTGCAACTGCAGCAGCGGCGACTGGCCAAAGCGCTGAAGGCCACCGTTGAACAGCTGAACGAGCGTGCGCTGCTGCTCGGCCCCCGCCTGCTGTGCAGACACCAGGCCCGTGAAGTCGGGCAGCTGGGACTGCAGCCGCGCCTGGACATGCTGCGGCAGCAGTTGCCATGTCTCCATCGAGAAGAACTCGTGAAAGATGGTGGAATTCTCGCACAGACCCCGCGGCAGGCGAAAGGTGTCGCGTTTACTTAGCTGCGCCAGTTCCAGTTCATCCGATTGGCATGTGGTGGTATCGTCCTCCGTCTCGGATTCCGTGAGTGCATCCTGCTCGGACATATCCTCGTCCTCGACATCGACATCATCCTCCGGCAGCGAACCGGGTGCGGAGGAACTGGAACTACTGCTGCTCCGATTGCTGCTGGCGCCCGAGCTGCTGCTGCTGCCGTCGCTCATTTGTCCAATGTCATCCTCCTCCTCCTCTTCGGAGTCCAGGCTGGGCCTCAGCATGCTGCTGTTTATGTTTATGTTATTGCTCATTTTTGTGGCAATTTTTGTGTCCAACAGCGTTTTTTCTCTTGTTACGTGGGCAGAGCACCCAATTTTCTTTCTCTACACTAAGTTATAATTCTTGTCTCTTACGCCGCTGCCTGCTGCTGCTGCTGCCTCGTTATATCAAACATATTAGCTGGTTGGTTGTTTTCTTCTTTTTTTATTGCTTCGCAGCATGTCGATTTCGCCCATTTTTAAATGAGTTGGCAGCTCGGGCCCAAACATTAGGGATGAGTCGATATGATGGCTGAAAAATACAGTTGCGATGAAATCGAAATTTAAATTGTTGACTGGGGTTGTTTTAATAGTATATGGAACATGTCGTTTTAATAGATATAGCTATGTTTGTGGAACAGGGATTATAGCAATTGGCCAGTTGGTCGTTAATTACCGTCTATTGATTGCTATGGGCGACCTGGAAAGAGCCGATAGTTGAAAGAATTGAAGAAAAGCAGCGGCATCTGTTGTGGGTTTCGAGAGGCTGGAACAGGGATGCGTGTGAATAAATGTAACAAAATGTATACTGTATACTTTGCCATATATGTGTATATTTAACTTATAAACTACTTTGTAATCCCTGCAAACATTTTACTTTTAAATTAATTAATGATTAAAAATGTCGTAGAGACGCTGCTTCTAAAAACATCGAGTTTGCGAAAAATCATCGATAACATCGATGTTTTTTCCGCTCAGCCCTACTGTGTATACCAAAATTGTGTCGGCGGCTTTTCGCCCTCGGCTTGCAACAATTTTCCTATTTATTTGCAATTTTCGTGTTGCAGAGGTTCACAATTGTACAATGTTTAAACAAAGCCTGCTAGCACACAACTGGTCAAAATGAAAGACCACTGACAGGAATAAAAGGTAAATACGAATGCGAAAAGAGAGCGAAGCGAGTAGGCCGCTGTTTTAATTTAGTGTCAAAAGTTACAGATAAATAATAAATGTGTGTCGTGTAGTGCGCTGTGTATAATCAGATTTGAAAAGTTCAGAAGGCGAGTCAGAGGCATAAATAAAGGCCCCACAGACGCCACAAAAAGAGGCAGAGCAGACAAACTCTCGGATTGCAAAAAAAAAAAAAAAGGAAAGAGGAGAGACAAAAAAAATGTGCAAGAAGAAGCAAAGAGAAGAAGGTGAAGAAGAAGCAGAAACAGAACGCGAACAACGCGCGGCAAATGCTTGCAAAAATTTAGAGAAAAAAAGAATAGTTTTTTTTGTTTGCCTGTAGACAAAAGAGTGAAGTTAACCGCAATCTAAATCGCATTTTCTTGCAGATCTATTGAACATAGTGGCGGCACAAACCCTCCGGTTATCTATGGGAAAGGAAAAGACCGACGCTTGTGAGACAAATGCCGCAACATCGCTGACAGCAGCAACCAAACACCAAGAAGTCACGGACGCCTCCTCCGACTGTGCAAGCAACCAAATCAAAGGAACAGAAACTATTAAGCAATCTAAAAATGATGTTGCGTCGGAGTCCACCACAGCCACCAAGGCAGTCAGCAGCAGCACCAGCGACAAAGAGACCACAAATGATTCTTCCAGTGGAACAGCAGCAGCAGCAGCAGCAGTAGTCGAAGCATCTGTAAAAGTTGAGGCCATCGAAGCCGAAGTGGCCGAAAAGAAAACGTGTAAAATTCGCATTGTGCCTCTAGAGAAACTACTGCCACAGCAATCGCAAACGAAAGAGCAACCAAAAGAGCTACCAAAAGTCTTGCCGCAGCGCAAGTCACGCAATAACACCTCGATTATTGAATTGAGCGACAGCGACGAGACCGAAGACGAAGCGGCCGTTGTGGTGAATCCTTTGCGCAGGAAAGCAAAGGCCACCACCAGCGGCAGTGCCACCATCACTGTCTTGTCCTCCTCCTCGGAAGATAGCAGACCCTTTCAGCGATCGAAGATCAAGATCGAGGCCAAGAAGCGGCCAAGGAATATTGTCAATTTGTTCCAGTCATCCGCCGAGGATAGCGACAGTAAGGCCTTGTGGGTCCGCCAAAAGGTTATCAACGGCAAAGGGAAGCCTGCCAAGAAGAACCTACGCATCGCTTCGTCCCCCGAAGAGAGTGACAGTCAGGCAGCAGACACGGGCACACGCACGCGCACAAAGACGTCTCTAAAGAGGAGAAGAAGCCGATCTCCCAACGCAGCTGGTGGCCAGGTTTTGAAGGCGGCCGTCAACGGCACGAAAGAGCAAAAGGCTCCGAAGAAGACTGCAAGCATCACCTCCCCTGCAGATCGTGTGCTCCTTCAGATTGCAAGCGATTCTTCCCAGGATAGCAACGCCACAAGAAAGCACAAGTCGCCAGACGTCTCGAGATCTGCAGATAGCGACGATAGCGTCGCCACAAAGCAGAAGAAGACTAACCAGAAGAACGCATCAAAGAAAAAGTCATCCAAGAAGACTGGAAGTGGCTTCTCCTCTGTAGATCGCTGGCTCCTTCAGCTGGAAAGCGACTTTTCTGAGGATAACAACGCCCCAGAGAAGGAGAAGACTACCAAGAAGATCGCCAGTGAATCCGCCAGTTCCTCAGAGGAAGGCCAGAAGCGGCAGACGCGCAGAAAGGCCATCAACGGCAGAGATAAGAATATCAAGAACACGAGGCTATCCAAGGAGAAGCAGCCAACGAAGCCGGCTGCCACTTCAGGGGCAGTGGCCCAGCTGCAACAACAGCCTCGACTGAAGAGTTGCTTGGTGCGTCTGAAGCGGATTAAAGGGACAAAGTCAGAGCCGAGCAACAAGGAACCGAAGTCAAAGCCAGAGGCAAAGTCAAAGCCAGAGGAAGAGCCCAAGCCAGAGGCAAAGTCAAAGCCAGAGGCAGAGCCCAAGCCACAGGCAAAATCAAAGCCACAGGCAGAGCCGGAACCAGAGCCAGAGCCAAGCACTTCAAAGAAACGTCAACACAGCATGAGCACAGATTCTGAAGAGGCTGCCACAACCTCGGGCACGGCAGCAGCCAAACGGCAACGTCGCCCCACCAAGAAAAGTGTGGAGAGCGATCCGGATTCTGACTATGAGGCAGCCGAGGCGCCCGAGCCGGCTGATACCGATGAGGAGGAGGAGGAGGAGTATCAGGTAAAATCCGAAGAAGATGACGAAGCGGCGGTGGAGGAGGAGGACGCTGCCCAGACAAGCGGCAGCGAGGTGATACCACAGCGCAAGCGACGCGGTGGCGTCAAAAAGCGAGACACCGACTCCGACAAGGCGTCCTCCGACTTTGAGCCGCACGAGAAGTCCAAAAAGAAACGCAAACGCATCCAAAAGAACTCGAGCGGCGACAGCGATGCGGATGGGGATGATGAGAAGCAGAAGAACAAGCGGAAGACCATACGGAAGATCATTAAAAGCAAGGATCTGGATATGACCACCAAGGAGGCGGCCAAAGAGGAGGATGATCGTCGCCGTCGCATCGAGGAGCGTCAGCGGGTGTACAATCGCATCTTTGACAAATCGGAGAGCATCGAAATCTCTGAGCTGGTGCTGGACTTTGATGAGGACTCCAAGAAGGCACTGCTGCAGGTGGACAAGGGTCTGCTCAAGAAGCTGAAGCCCCATCAGGTGGCGGGCGTTAAATTCATGTGGGATGCCTGCTTTGAAACGCTCAAGGATAGCGAAGAGAAGCCCGGCTCTGGCTGTATACTGGCCCACTGCATGGGCCTGGGCAAGACGCTGCAGGTGGTGGCCCTCAGTCACACACTCCTCATGAACACCAGGCGTACAAATGTGGAGCGTGTCCTGGTGATAACGCCCCTCAGCACGGTGAACAATTGGGCGCGCGAGTTCCTCTATTGGATGAAGTTTGCCAATCGCAAGGACATCGAAGTGTACGACATCTCCCGCTACAAGGACAAGCCCACACGCATCTTCAAGCTAACCGAATGGTTCAAGGACGGCGGTGTATGCATTCTCGGCTACGATATGTATCGCATTTTGGCCAACGAAAAGGCCCGAGGACTGCGCAAGAAACAACGCGAACAGCTGCAACAGGCACTGGTCGATCCGGGGCCCGATTTGGTCGTCTGCGATGAGGGGCATTTGCTGAAGAACGAGAAGACATCGATCAGCAAGGCGGTGACAAGAATGCGCACCAAACGGCGGATTGTGCTCACCGGAACTCCGCTACAAAATAATCTCAGAGAATGTAAGTGAAGGCGCGAAACTCTGCTCGCTGGGTTGCATATTTCATCCTGTTTTTCCGTTTCTCACCACTAGATTACTGCATGATTCAGTTTGTGAAACCAAGCCTGCTTGGCACCTACAAGGAGTACATGAATCGCTTTGTAAATCCGATCAGCAATGGCCAGTACACGGACTCCACGGAGCGTGATCTACGCCTGATGAAGCATCGTTCGCACATACTCCACAAGCTGCTGGAGGGTTGCATTCAGCGCAGGGATTATTCGGTTTTGGCGCCGTACTTGCCACCGAAACACGAGTATGTGATCTATACGACACTGTCGGAGCTGCAGCAGACATTGTATGGCTACTATATGACCACATATCGGGAACAAAATAGCTCCGATATCTGTGGCAAGGGTGCACGCTTGTTCCAGGACTTCCAAGACCTGCGACGCATCTGGACGCATCCCATGAATCTGCGTGTGAACAGTGACAATGTAATTGCCAAGCGTTTGCTCAGCAACGATGATTCCGACATTGAGGGCTTCATTTGCGATGAAACCGAAGAGGATGAAGCCGCCACCAATTCCTCCGACAGCTGTGAGTCCTTCAAATCGGATGCCAGCATGTCCGGTGCACGGAAGAGCACCAAAAAGCACAAGACCCGCAATAGAACGGCGGCTGGCGCCGATTCGGATTCCGATTTGGAGATGCTGCCCTCGGGCCCGCTGGTGCAAAAGGATGACCCCTCCGAGTGGTGGAAGCCATTTGTGGAGGAGCGCGAGCTAAACAACGTGAATCATTCCCCCAAGCTGTTGATACTGCTGCGTCTTCTGCAGCAGTGCGAGGCAATTGGCGATAAGTTGTTGGTCTTTTCGCAGTCACTGCAATCGCTGGATGTCATCGAGCATTTCCTATCGCTGGTGGATTGCAACACAAAGAACTATGAGTTTGAGGGTGAGTATCTCTGCGGTAGCAGTCAGCATAAACAGCTCTCTAGCATCCTTCTCCTGTCTTCCTGCTCCAGGGGACGTTGGCGACTTCAAGGGCTGTTGGACCAATGGCAAGGATTACTTCCGACTCGATGGCTCCTGCAGCGTTGAGCAGCGCGAGGCCATGTGCAAGACCTTCAACAATGTGACCAATCTACGCGCCCGACTCTTTCTCATTTCGACGCGTGCCGGCGGCTTGGGCATCAATCTGGTGGCCGCCAATCGGGTGGTGATCTTTGATGTCTCGTGGAATCCCTCGCACGACACCCAGAGCATCTTTCGGGTGTATCGTTTCGGGCAGGTGAAGCCCTGCTACATCTATCGCCTCATAGCCATGGGCACCATGGAGCAGAAGGTGTACGAGCGGCAGGTGGCAAAGCAGGCGACCGCCAAGCGTGTAATTGACGAGCAGCAAATCTCCAGGCACTACAATCAAACCGATTTGACGGAGCTCTATTCCTACGAACTGAAGCCAACGGCAGAGCGAGAGATGCCCTTGCTGCCCAAGGATCGTCTGTTTGCCGAGCTGCTAACGGAGCACGACAAACTGATATTTAAATATCACGAGCACGACTCGCTGCTGGAGCAGGAGGAGCACGAAAATCTCACAGAGGAGGAGCGCAAGTCCGCGTGGGCCGAATACGAGGCAGAGAAAACACGCACCGTGCAGGCCTCCCAATACATGAGCTACGATCGCAATGCCTTTGGCAATCAGGTGATGGGACAATTTGGCAATGCCTCCGGCAGCGTTACCTCCAACAAGATCTTTGGCTTCCGTTCGGACATTCTGCTGCAGTTGCTCAACATGAAAATATCCAAAGATCATCCAGAGCTCACACAGAATCAGGTCATTCAATTGGTGCCGACATATCTGCAGCAGCTGTACAATGAGATGAACAACGGGGATCCCACCATGTACAAGGATCTGTTGAGTCTGCATGGCAATATTATACACCCGAGTGGCATGTATATGAATCCATTGCTCTATGCCAATCAGCATCCATCGGCGGCTGGCTATAATCAGGGTACAGGTGTGGGTGCGCCACCTGCTGGTGCTGGTGTGGCTGGAGTTGGTGCACCGCCAGTTGTGCCCGCTGCGCCAGGTTTCGAGCCGGACAAGGTATACGAAATTGATTAGGGATACCCACACACAGACACACTCTATGGACAGAGAAGGATAACCACTACTTGCTCGGCCCCACCCCACTCCACAGAGAGAGAAGGAAATATTCCACTACCCTTTCCACATAAGAGAAAACACCCAAACCCAAGCCCAAAACCCATAAATGGGTTGAAATTTCTATTATAATTTTAGTTAATTTCATGTGTGTTTTTTGTTTGTTTGTCGATCCTCACACATTCGTGGGATCTAATCTAATCTAATCCAATAACCAACTTAAATTTCTCTCTCTCTCGCGCGCGCAGTCTAGTTTAAGGGTTCTAAACTGTCCGACGAATTCAGCTGTAGACTTACAATTATATTAGATACAAGGATACACACATAAATCAAAGGCGTTTTTCAGTTATAATATTAAATATAAAGAAACAAACAAATAACAACAAAATACTATTATAGATCGCATAGCTATTATGATTATAATACGGGATGGATAGGAGCCACCCTCTCCCTCCTCCACCTCACACAAGAACATTATTTAAACACGCAACAAAATGATAAAGAATAAATGGCACAGATATTATACATACAACAAAAATATAATTCATATTTAATGGAGGTTTATTTATTTGGGGTATGGGAATGGTAATGATTGGAGCGGCTCTTGTGTGTTCTTTTGGGGTACTTTTGAGGCTTAAATAGGAAGCCGAACATAGCTGGATTATAAGTGGCAGATCTACAAATATTTAATGGTTTAAAGCAGAAATGGGGCTGTAAGAAGTAAGTAAGATCTGGATAATAGGCAATAGATATAGGATGCTGCACAAAGGAAGGGGTAGATGGGATTTCTGAGTTACTTATAATGGAAGATAACGGCTCATAGAGGAATAACTTTTCATGATTATGCAGATTCAGGGCACTGACTGTGGGGTTATGTAGATCGTTTCGCTAATTCAAAGCAGTTGTTGGCGCTTTGAAAGTTGTCCAACGTTTGGATAAGGAAATGCATACGTTGAGGTGTATTAGAAAGATGTTATCTTTTATTTAGAAATTTCCCAGGAATTCCCCATCTAACAGCGCGTTTTATCTATGTTTCCATGTCCCCAACAGTCTTCCCGTTGTAAAGATAAACATTCGCTTGCAGCCGCTTTTTGTGTGCAAAATGCAACCAGAAACCTTGGCCTGGATCAGTTTACAATGCTTATAAAAGCTGCTTACTACAGTAGTCAGTATTTACAGCGAGTACACGAGTATGACCAACATTTTCTATGTTTTAATAGCTATACAAACATATTCGTGTGTTTTGTTGTGTTTATTGAACTATTAAAATTACAAACTAAAACCCCAATTTTGCCCCTTCCATTCCTCTCACTTGGGTGGCAGCTTGCCCATCATGCGCAGCTGCTGCATTTGCTGTGCCTGCAGCATATGCTGTTGTCCCGGTGGCATGGGACCGACTGGTGGCATGCCCGGCATCAGACCAGGACGTGGTGGCACACCACCCATGGGCTGTTGCATGCCAGATGGAACGCCCTGCAGCATGCCCGGGTTGATGGGCGGCGTGGGACGATTGTGGACGCCCTGTTGGATGTCGGAGAGGCAGGCCTTCCATTCTTCCAGGCGATTGTAGTGCTTCTGCAGGAGCGCCTCCTTGCGTTGGATCTCAATGCTGAGATCCTGGTTCTCGTCCTTGATCAGCATATAGGGTTTGAGGGTGGACACGAGGAAGCGTTTCTGCAGGAAGAATGCCTCCATTTGGCGGGCCACATCGATGAAGCGATTTGTTGTCTTCTGGACTTCCAGTTCGATTTCCTCTTTGTTGGTCCCAGAGTTCGGCTCCTGCTTGGTTAGGGATAGCAGGCAGGACTGAAAGGCCTCCTCGAACTCGTCCATCAGGTTTCCACTGCCAGGATCGTTTTGGGCCATGATTAAAGCTGATTTTAATGCGTATTTTTTACGTATTTTGCCGGTAGAGGTGTCAAACCAAAGAGGGCACTATCGATAGTACCGATATGTTGCTGCTAGCCTCTACTATCGATGGTTTTGAGACTATCTTGATAGTATCGAGCTACAGTCGTTGCGCTTTTGATATATTTGGATTGGCTGCTATAAAATACGTATACAAATTTTGTAATGCATCTAATTTTTACAATGGACATGTTCCTATAAGGTTTCAATGGTTTCTTAATTATTATTTGACCCGTAAATATACCTAAATAATGGAGCTGCCAACTTGGAATTGCCCAGCTAGGGATGGGAGCTATGCCAATAGTTCGATATATTCGAGCAGAACCACTGGCTGCTTGCGGCTGTTTATATAAACAAAACAAATTAACATTTAAAATGGCTGCTCGGATGGTGCAACGCTGTCTGCACACAGCGCAGAACTGTCTAAGAGCTCGCGTACCGCGTCGTGCCAATCCCGGACTTGGCTATCAGCTGCAACAGCTGCAGGAACACGAACGGCCAACAGCGACGCCCGAAGCCAGCGAGGATTATGGCGATCTGGAGTCGGATTTCATGGACGTGCAGAAGACCCATCGACAGCATGAGGTGCAACAGCAGGCGCAGCGCGATCGTGTGCGTCAGTTTATGATCAAACACAAGTACTTTCGGGATGTCAAGCTCCCCAATTTGCTGCTCCATGCGGAAAAGGAGCAAATGCGTCTGCTGCACGAACAGCGGCCGGATGAGTGGAGCATCGAACGTTTGGCCGAGAGTTTTCCCGCCACCCCGGAGATTGTCCAGAAGGTATTGCGCGCCAAGTGGCGGCCGAGGAATGTGCCCAGGATACGCGCCCACGACGAGAGTGTCATGCAGAACTGGCAACAGCTGCGGCAGGGTAAATGTGATGTGGCCATACCCTCGGCGTTTCTGCAGCACTTGGAGAAGTTTTCGGAGCGACGACAGCAGGACTTGAAGCAACTAAAGCCCGAGGAGTGGCCCACGAAACCGGCACTTCCTGTGCCACGGGGAACTGAGTTCCGGCAGCTGCTGGGTAATGGAAAACAGACCAAAGAGAGCCCTAATCTTCCACAGCTGCCATCAGGCTATGCTCCGCCACCCGCAGCAGCAGAAGATGAAACTTATTTGCTGGACAAAGTGCGCAATAAGCGAAAGATGCGTCTGCAGGAGCTCAAGCAGCTGCAGCTTGTGCCCGCCGTGTCAGAGGCAGCGCCCCAAACGCCGCCAAGCAATCCCAGCGGCACGGGTTTCCTCTCCAGCTACGTGCAAAAGTTCGAGAGCAGCGAAATAGTGATCAGTGTGGCGGATCAGCGACGCTACGAGATGACCAAAGTCAAGGATCGCATTGTAATACCACGAAAACTGCATCGTCCGGGTGCCACCTACCGCGTGGAGGATGCCTACTACGATGACGATGGAGAGCTGCTGTATCGCGTGCCCGGCATGAAGGGCGGACATGGTGTCTGACTTTTTATTACAAAATTCCCGTATAAATTGTATATAAAATGAAGAGAGAGATTTCCGTTTACTAAATTCAGTTGCTGAAGGCAGCGGCGATTAGATCACTGCCAGCCATTAGAGAGTCGGAGGCCACTGTGATGTTGGCACCCGTCAATTTGGATATGAAATCACAGGCAGCTATCTCCGCATAGTTGGCCCCGCCAACCACAAAGACAAAGAGATTACGTAGTCGCAGGGGGAACACATCCACCGCATCCATACCACCTCCTCCTGGTGGTGTTGCCTTCTGCTGTGCAGCATAGGCCTTGGGCGTCGTCGGCGTCTGTCTGCTGCTATCTAAATGAAGTTGCATGCCCTCGACCATGGCCAGTTTGGCGGACAACTCTTCAGCATTGTTGGCGCGCAGCAGAATGGAGCAAAGCTGTGCCACCAGCGGTATGTAGGTGCCATTGAACACAAAACTGGGGCAGGACTGCACGCCCTGTTGGCCCTTTGAGGTAGCAGCACCATCCGCACCATCGCCGCAGGACGTAAGCAGCTTCAAGCGGTTGGCATTGGCCTGGAACTCTGTTTGCTGGAACTTGGGCAGTGGGAGATTGGCCAGCAGCTTTGTGGGCGCCTTCTTGTCGGGCAACAGCTGAGGCAGCAACGCCGCTTGAGCGAGCTGCTGGAACACACCCAACTCCCGATGGCCAAACATGTTGCAGTAGTTCCTGGCAAACAGTTGCAGCTCCTCGGGTGCCACGCCCGCACAGTGATGGAGCAGGCACAGCAGTCGCAGGGTATTGTAACGCTGGCCATCTGTTGTCAGCAGCTCATCAATCTCTCCCAGGAGTCTCTTCCTCGACACATTATTCAGAATATCCTCCTCCAGGGTCTGAAGTCTACGAAAGTTTCCCAACATTTGGATAACAATTTCACTGGCATTCAAATGCCGCAAGACTTTGGCTTTCAGTTCCGTGAGTTTTGGCAGCTTTCGGGCCACATAGTCGTGCATCTCCTCCAGCTGCATGTCGTTCAACTTCTGCAGCTCCAAGCCCAAGGCCTTGACCTGCGCGCGTATCCAACTGCTGGCCTGCGCAAAGTGCTTGTAACGATTGTCGCCATAGATCTCATCGGAGGCAGAGTTCAGACGCACAGAGATGGGTTTACCGGCGTTCGTCGTCCCCTTGGGCTGCCTGCTCTGCAGCAGCTCCACGCGCTGACTGCTGATCTTGTTCTTGGAGTTATCAACGACAATTTCCCCTGCCCGTTGCTGGAATACCTCCAGCAGCAGACCCGCATAGATGGCGGGCGTGAGCAGACTCGAGGGATAGTCCTTGTCCCGATCGATGATCAGCCAGCCGCCATAATCGGGTGGGTTTGTGGTATTCGGTGGCTTGCCCAGGGCCTGTAGCATTTGCAGCAACTGCGCTGAGTGTGAGCCAAAGCTGAGTATAACCGCAGGTGGGCCACAGATCATTTGGAGCAGCCGCAGGCTCTGAGCCACGGCAGGCAAGGGCGAATTATCGCACTGCAGGTACAGGCACTCGTATAACTAGGGAAAAGAAGACTTTAGAGCGGACTTTAGAAGCTGAATCCCTTACATTTGGCAACTCCAGGCTGAGAACACCCTGGTCAAAGTAAATGAAATCCCAATTGTAGTGATGCAGCTGCACCAGACCCCACAGGCCCGCCTGCTCGAGCAGCGTCTGGTAATACGTATAGCAGCTGGGCACACAGATGATGTGGTACATCTTCAGGGATATGTCGGGCGTCTCCACCGTGGCCAGCGGTTGCAGCTGGCGCAGCAAAGTCTGGTATGTGCCCAACACGCTGCGAATCATATAAATATGCACCTCATCCGCAGAGCGTGGCACAATCTGTTTGGCATCATGCTTATAGATCCTCTGTATGCCCTTTAATCTGCAGGTAAACGCAAGGGTTAAACTACATTTAAGGAAGTGATCGCCACCCACTTTAACCAGGAGGCAGTGCAGACATGTTCCAGCGGTTTAATCAGAGCGGGCTCCAGAATCAGCTCCTTTTTGCCGGGTATCGAACACAGTATAGCTTGCAGCTGCAAATACACCAATTAGACATTATGTATTTGAGTGTTGTTAGCATTACCTTTTCCTGTGCCACCAGTTGGAATCCCTGCAGCTTCTTTTCCAGCGTTAATTCCATATTCTGGGCATCTGGGAACAGGCCAAAGCATAAAAACGTAAATTTTGACTAAGTGTGACGTCGTTTTGTGGCGTTGCCAGACTCGTGCAATTCGTAGTTGCTGCGGGCTGCCATACCATGATATTTTGTGATATGAAATTCGTCAATTTTGATATTCAGTTTAATATTACTAGATAGTTGGCCCTCTCAGCCGTAAACAAATAATTTTATCCGATAGATACATAAATTTTGTTCAGGATTGGCTAGTTTTTAGAACTCTTTTTCATTGGATTGTTTACATATTAAGGTTGAAACAAAAACGGCCAAAGCATAAAACGTAAATGTTGACTAAATGTGAGTCAATGTTGCTGGTCAACCAAGTTCCTTCTATGCGTATGTACTTTTGTATACCTTATTTCTTTTAATTGGTGTTAAATGTTATGTTCCAAGCTCCATTAAAACATTATTTATGATTTTATCCTAGACATGTTTTTTACCTATAAATGCACATGTTTGTGTTTTAGATATACATTTATCCTGGTTCTGATAGCTATTTTTGGAACCCGTGAGCTGCAAAATTTCGTTAACATCTTTCAAAACCGAGACTGAATAGTTTCTGCATTAATTGGAGCTTGAAATTACAAACAATATCTCAAGTCCATAATATCCATTTTCCCAAGGTATGCAGATTGTTGCTCATTCCGTGCCAAAGTTGCACAACAATGCTGCTAATCCATTTCCACATGTTGCTGAATTTTTTCCCATACAAATCAAATGTTCTTAATGTTCTTTTGTTCTTAATCGTACAAAAATATCGATACTATTCGCTCTCAAATCGTGTTGACGAAGCCGAAAGCAGAGGCAAAGGCTAGCCTAAAAGAGAACCGCGCGCCCGTCGCAACATCAGCTTTTCAAAACAAAACGAAAAAATATTTTATGAACCGCTTCGTCAATGCCTCAACCCGCGTCGAGTCGAGCTAAAGAACACACCAAGAAAATATGAAGTCTTACGACGGGAATAGGTCCAGGGCCGGATTAGCAGTTGCCTAGGGCCCTCCTAGAAATAACAGAAAAATGTTGTTGAAAAAACAAAACTCCAAAAAATGAATAAAAAATATAATAGCCACTGATAAAAATACAAATTAATAAAGCAAACATTAAATTTATAAGTTTTTATTTCAAATGAAAGAAGAAGGAACTGGCGTGAAAAAATGGAGGGCCCCAGATTGATGGTTGCCCAGGGCCCGGTTGAGGGTTGATCCGGCCCTGAATAGGTCGCTACATCACATCAGCCCTCAAAACAAAACGAACAACCAATTCAAGCGGACAACAATTGTAGAGCCCACACACAAGCACAGTATGTGTGAATACATGGCACACACACATTTACGTAACCTGGAAACGAAACTCAAAACGGTTTCGGAAAATAAGAATTGATACAAAATTTTGTCGTGTCTGTTTACACACATACATTTGCAATTCTCAGCTTGCTTTCGCTTCCCGACATGAGTCATACATGCCGAACGGCCCAGCTCCCGACCCGAATGGCCTGGCTCCCGACCCGAGTGTCTCAGCCTCACAGAGCCGAAGCGCTGGGAGCCGGGACAGAACACTCAGCTTGCGCCCCTTTCGATGTATGAACTGGCACATCTATATACTGTATGGTTAGTGACTAACCCCAGCTCTATTTAAACAATTGAACAGCTTGATTTAAATCTAGGAAAATATTACTGTTTGTAAATTGTTCTTGCTTCGATATCCTATAATCTTTAATATACCTATTATATTTAAATTTAATAGATTTTCGGAAGCGGCAACGCCGCATATATTCTGAAAAGTACCTTAAAAACGGAATTAAAATATATAATGATAAACCGTAATATATATATATAATATATATATATATATATTATACCGTAGGTTTATATTAAAGATTACAGGGTATAGAAACCTCTTAAACATTTCGAAACTCATGCTAGTAACGCAAAAATGAGCTTGAGAGCGTAAAAACGCTCGGTCATGTCATGGAAAGGTATGGTTAACAGCCAAAAACGTCCTAGGGAAATTACAAGGCTCGTACGAACTTCACCCCGCAGAGTTTGATCAACAATATGCTATAAACTCCATGGTATGCTAAGCAAAATAGGTAGATTTTGCCTTGCATGCGCTCAAACATTTTGAGCCGCCTCACCTGTTGGCCATACCCCTATTTTTCGACAGCAATTTCCCAGGGAAATTTTATAAGCGACGGCAGCGACGCCAGCAGCGACGCTCTGGACATGTCGAGACTTGTTCAGTACATTTTTTCGGCCCCACGAATTCGAACGCCAATGTGAACGCCCTGCCTTTTCTTGTGCCGAGCGGGAATTTCGTGTTTTTGCGTGTTTCGGAACCGTGTTTACCGCGCCTTGTTCGTATATAGATGTTTTAACTAAACACAATATATTACTCCACCGCTTAAACAAATAGCCGTGCTGGGCAGCAGGGGCCAAAGTGCAATCGAGGAACCACAGTCTATTTCATACAGTGTCAGCCCGCGAAATTAATAGGCGCCGTTATCTTGTGGAAATATTTTGCTTCTACATAACAGCCCAAAGGCCAGCGATTCCATTCCTCCCGCTCTCTCGCACAAGAAAGAATAAATGTTTATAGAGAAATAAAGTATATAAATGAATATATATCAATGTCCAGCTGAAACTAGAGGAAATTGAAAAGTGTGTTTATACTTATGTGGCCGCAAGTGTAGTCCCGTTCTCTCTCTCTGTCTCTCTGTTTCTGTGCGTGTGCGTGTTCGCGGGTGTTTGTGTGTGAGTGAGCTGGCAAGCATGTGTTTGTGATTTTATGTTGTTGTTTGCTGCTTTTGCTTTCGCATAAAATCCAAAGACAACAAAGAAGTAAAGCAAAACATAAATGAAATTTTTGGAAAACCAAACTGAATGCCGCAACGACGCCGTCGCCGCTCTCTTTACAGTTACAAGGTAAGAGGATGAGTAATTTGTTTAAAACAACAACAGCAAAAACTGAATTTTTTTGTGCTTGAAAAATTGTTGCACAAATATTTTTGCGTATTGCGGTCGGGTCGTCGTCGTTGCTAGGAAAATGCTTCAAATTGTTGAGCTAATGATAAAAATACTTGAATGAGAGCTGAGGCCTGCCTGCTCTGTGTCGTCGTTGTTGTTGTTGCTGTTACTGCCGCTTGTTGCATGCCTCATCCAACGCCGACGACGCCAGTTGCCGTTTCCCTTTTTGTTTTCATATTCGCCGTTGCCGTCGCTCAACCTGTCGCCCAGTGCACGTTTTCCTTTTTCTCGCTTGCACTGGCGCTCTTTTCTCTACTCCCTTCCTTTCTCTCTCGCTGCCATCCATCTCCTCTGTCTGTCAGTCATTATCTCTTTCGCTGCGTTTTGGCATTGTGGCTTAGTGTTGTTTTTGCTTTTGCATTTGCATTTGCTGTTGCAGTGCTAACATTTGGATGCCCCTGGTAGACGAGTGGTATGATGTGTTATTAGCAGAGAAGGCAGCACTATTGGATCTATGATACAAATTGCCTTTCCAAGTCTTACCATAATTGTTCTCAATCTTATCATAACTTCCCAATCGCTCCTTCTTTTAGGGGGTATCCAAACTTCGATCCTCTGATGGTCAGCCTTCCCGTTCTTGTTTTCTTATAGTCGCTGGCTGCTGATGCTGTTGTCTCCTTCTGTCTGCCGTTTTTTGTTTCGGTTTCTTTGCATTTATTTGTTATACCGGTTTGGATCATCATCAGTGTCTCCCTGTCTCTCTTCCTCTGAGGCTGCAGGTAGTTGTGCACATCGTTTACTTTGAGATTTTCCTTTTGCTTTTGCGCTTCTGTGCGTTTGCTCTTCTTCACATTTTGATCGTCTTCTATGTTTCTTCGTTTTGTCTTCCCTAATTATGTTTTATTTGTCTTCTGGGGGACCCCGAACCCGGCTGCTCATCATAAAATCTGATGAAGATTCTGTTCGCATTAAAAGTTAATTTTCGTTGGACAGCATATTTATTGTTTCTTCTTTTTGTTTGTTTTCTTGTTAAAAATAATTTGCATTTAAATTTAAGGACTGTTTTATATTTTTGTTTTCGCATAAAAGGCTGTTCAACTTTTATTAATGGGGTTTACACTGAGATTGTTGGGGGGTTTCGTCGGGACTTGGGATTTTTAGAAAGCTTTTAAGAAGTAAATGCAACGATCAATGATTAATTAATCTAACATTGCACCACCTGACACACTAGTCACTAGTAAACAAAGAAGAGAGGAATATACACAGATTATATTGAATGAATCATAAAGAAAGGTGCCTGAACAAATCGTAACTTTAGAGTCCGTCATTACAAACAAAGAAAATGAGCAAATAGAGAATGATTCTAAACAATACCAATTATATCGAGGAAGAAATAAGGTATATTTACGCCACTTACAATGTTTCTAACTCGAAAAACTTTCCTCAGACTGCATTCTATTGCTTTTGAGCTGCCAATGATTCTCTAAACATCGATTAGTACCTGATATGGATAACAAATCGACACGCATTACCAATAATTGCAATGGCCAAGAAACGCCTAATGATGAAATTAATCTTGTTGCTTATCGACCGACTCATTTTCACACACAAACACCATCACTTTCCACTTTGCTGACTTCCTCATGGCCAGACACCGACTCGACTGTATGTTCAATTCGATAACAATAACAAAACCAAGCAAATCGAAATAATTCATTTTGCATTTAGATAAATAAACAATTGCTTGCTCCCAAGGCGATAAACTTTAAAGAAACCCCAGCAAGCGAGCGAGACAGAGCGAGAGAGAGAGAAAAAAACAAATTCTTCAACAAAAAATCTGCACTAATTAAAACCAGCAACAAATTACACATCGAAATGGAAAGTGGAAAAGGAACAGAACGACAGGAAACAGCATCGAAAAAAAAACAGGCAATGAAAATTAACAGAACTACAGGAATTTTGCGTAAACACACACGGGTTTTGATTTTTGCAAGCTTTTACTGTTTCTTTTGTGGGGATGTACCCTGTATATTTCATAGAGTTCAAAGGGTATATGGGATAGGATAGAGACAGAAGGTCGAATGCTTCTCTTTGTCAGCTCCTTTTCTTTCAATATTATTTTAATCTGAGAAAACATTAAGTAATTCCAAGTACTGGGTATCTTTCAGTCACAATATCAACATCAATTCTTTTCGTTTTTGTTCTTTTTGGAGGCGTGTGAATTTTCTTCGATTTGATGTCTGTTTTAGCTTCTTTTCTTTGCCCATATCGGGGCGTGACTGCACAATGAGCACACACAACGCACAGACATATAGACACACATACATCAGTGTACCCCCCAATTAGTATTGTTGTTTGCAATCCACTATTGGCATATGGCAAATAAAACTTCGAGTATTTCCAAATATAAGGTCGCTTGCTCTCTATTAGCTTTTCGGTTTTGCGTTTCCTTGCCCACCCCCCGTTCTGTTCCATCTGTTTCTGTCTTTTCATTTCTGTGTGTGATCTACTGTTTAGAATGGGTTTCTTCTCTTCCAATTATATTTGGCGCTTTATTTGTCTTATCGCCTTTTTCGCACACACTTATTCTGGCATCTATTTTTGGAGCTGCCTTTCCTTTCCGCTTTGGTGTATTTCGTATTTCTGTTTCTCATCATCATCATCATCATCATCCATCGCCCACACGTTTTGTGGGGGGGAATTATTGCATTTGTTGCGGTTTATTCCGTAAAAGTTTTTCTCGTTCCTTTGTGCGTAATTACGTGAATGAGTTCTCACACAAATTTTGCAGCATTTATTGCGCATTTCGATGCCCGATGCCCTCTCTTCACTCTCTCTCTCTCTCTCTGTTTTCTATGATTTGTTGCTAAGGAATACGTGATTGGGATACACATAGAGACGGTTCGATTCAGGTTTTTGGATGATGAATCACTAAACAGGGCAGAATATAAAAGAGGGTAACATATGAAGGGTTTCTGGGACCCATTACAAATGTTAATAAATCTACAAATTTAGGAAGATGTACTATGAAAAATTGTGTGTATTTTACGCGTTTTTAAATCAATTTATTTTTTGCAATTTGCAATCACACAAATCATGATCGTTTGTCCATCACTCTCAAGTGAAGGGTGTTTCTTGACTCACTTTTAGGGGTGGTGATTCACGGCTCCAAATACAAAAAAAATAAACAAAAAATCCCCAGAATATATACGTAAACGAAAGACCCAGTTTCCTCAGCATTCTTCAATCTTCATCATCTTTGCATTTGGGGGGAAACAATAAAAAAATGCGACAGGCTGAGGGAGAGAGTGAGACTTCTGGGGATAGGTAAAGCCACATGTGATGCAGAATAGGAAAAGAGGGAGGATGTACGCAGAGGATGGAGTAGGAATAGAGCAGGGCTCGGCACGGCCCTATCCCATGGGTGCGGGACAAGGCGCTGCTGCTGCGCTGCCGGTACACCGACAGTATAAAAAAGCAGCGGCGCTTCGTATGGCTTCGGCAATGCGACTTCGGCACTTGTTGTCTCGTTTTCACACCAGATACAGAACGAAAATGGCATCAGTTGCTGATCAGCCGTCATCAATGTGAGACCACGCTACGCAACTACTGAAATATACACTGAGACAAAAAATGTTCGATGGGAATTGGGAAAACAAATTTTTCTTTGTCCAAAATATGGATGGCGATGCGCAATGCACAATTTGCGATTATGTTGCGTACCGCTGTAATTTATATGTCATTGAAAGACATTACAATTTAAACCATATTGATTATAACTTAATAAGGGGGATTGATCATGTCCAAAAAGTTTTGGAATTGCAGGCCAAATATTTTCTATTATTTGTAGCGGAAGATAATGACAGCCTAGCTTTATTTTATTATTTTGCTTTAAACTTTTGTTTTCCTTGAAAGTTTCAACACGAAATAATTGCAGCAGCAACCACAAATAGATTCGTGCAGTGTAAAGCAAGAAACCGGTTTCGGCGTAGGCATCTTCGTGTTTTAGCTACGCACACAAGCGCACTTCACTGTATGGGTGCCGAGCCCTGGAATAGAGGATGATGAGGATGGTTATGGTATGCTATGCTATCCCATGGTAGATGACTGCGCGCATTGCCTGACTGACGTACGGCGGCCCCCACTCTTGGGGGCAACATGTGTGTTGTGTTCTGTTGTAGAATAGAATGTCGGTGCCTCAAGCACAGTATTTTTTGGCGCGTGTCCAAGAATAAAACAAAAGCAAAGCGCGAAAGGTATTTCACATGCGAAAAACCGTAAATTTATATTTTTATAAAACCAAAAAAATAGATTTTACCAAAAAACTCCTAAGAAAAAAACCCAGAGAGATAAAAACTGTGAATATTAAAAAAAAAATTTATTTTCTTGTAGGACTTTTTTTAAAAAAGTAAAAATCTTTCGCAAACAAAATTCCAAAAGAAAGGCTACAGAAAAGCAAAAAACAAAACATAAATGCTCCCCAATTGAAACGAAATAAATGCCAAATCTGCACCATATCCGTTGAAATTTTCAGATTGCTAGACAAAAGAAAATTTTCTGCTGAGTCAAAAGTGCAGGCAGAATAAAAGAAGCGTTTCGTTCATTCGTTCGTTCGTTCGTTCGTTCGTGGGATGAAGAAAAATCTCTCTTTTCGAGCGCTTTCCCAAGAGCTAACTTAACTAGTTCTCGTTGTTTTTCGCGTTTGTTTTCCATTTTCTTTGCTGTGTTTTTGGGGCCAGCGACATTGCGGAGCGGCGAAGTTTAAACTGAAACGAATAAACAATGGATGGGGGCAAGCGCTTTTCCGCTTTTCCGGCGGCTGCTGCTCAGCTATGCCTGGCACGTTTGCCGTCCGCTCAAATTGCCACGAAAGGTGAGAAATTTGGAGGCAAACGAAACACAACCCACAACTTGAGATTGGCTTCAGTCTCTCTCAGAAACACACAAGAAAAACCCAATTTTTTTTGCCCGCTTCTTTCGTTTCATTTTGGCCGGGGGGGGGGGGTGTCGTCATATTCCGGCGTAGGAAAACTGAAACTGAGATGTGAAAGCCGCGTGTGGAAGAGCCAGCGATTGGTGGTTGGGGGTGGGGGCTGGTTTCTTAATGAATTGGCCATGTCGAAAACAAGTTATCTTAATGGCTGACTGACTAACGACTGATGACTGATTTGCATAGCATTTTCCACCTCTGAATTTTCAATTAAATTGGCAAATTTTTTAACCTTGGATGCCGAGTATTTAAAGATATGAAATAAACTCTAAAAAAATATCCCCATCAAGAAAAAAACACAAGTAAAATAAATGCCTGAATTAAAGGAACTTAAAAAACAACTTACTTGATATACTCGTATCTTCTGGTGTAGATATTGTATGGACACAAATCAGAAAGCATATCATACATTTCTCGATTTAGCTCATACATTTTCGGAAATCGAACATGAATATGCCAGGTAGAAATTAAAACAGATACACAAAACCATTTTTTTTGTAAGTTAAAAAAATAGCCTTCAAAATCATTTTTTGGTGTAATTTATTTGAATACTGGCGTTCCTTATGTGAATTCATTTTATGCTGAATGAACTCTAGACTTGGAAACTTCTCCATGGCCTAGCTTTTCTCTATCTCTCCATTCAACATAAATCAGAAAAAGTGCACCTGCCACATGTCAAACAGAAAAAGTTAACTGACAAAAGATACAAAAATAATGCCAAAATCTAAAGCAAAAACAAGGAAAAAAAAACACCCATCGATGCATTTTGCCTCAGAGATGTTCACTCAACCGAATTGACATTTTGCTTATAAAATACATTTGGAGAAATATGAGAAAGGAAAACTATTTATGTATATGTTTGTTTGCATTCTCTATCCAGAGAATGATGCACCCACCCCCCTCTTTGGGGTGCGTGCGCGTGGCACCAACGCCTTTCGGCACCTTGTTTGCGAAATGTCGAAGA